GCGATGTTTATACGTATGTATATATATATATATACATGTATGTAGTTGCATATTGTGTACATTTATATGTACATATATCTGTTTTGTAGATGTTCTATTTGCACAACACATGTTCGCCCCGGCCGAGCCGTAGGTGGAGGGCAACGACTTCTTCAAGAAGGGCGAGCTCTTCAGGGCCGCCGACTGCCGCGCCCTCGGGTTCGGCGGGTTCAGTCACTTCCCCCAAAACCGGGGGGGCTGGATGTTACCCGTCTATCTAACATGGTTGTTGTTGGGAAACGGTTTACTTTTTTACTTATTGTGGTTTTGCGGGAAATCCCCACTCAACTGCTGAAAAATATGTTTTTGCTCCCCCTCCGACGTCAACCAAGCTAAGGGTATCTTCCCCATGCTTTCCAGGGATCCTTCTTTTCATAAAACCATCAAACCACCCAGCGAAACGCCTGGTTTTCGACAGAACGATGGTTGACAAGAATGGGGAGTCATCCCCCAGAGTCTAAGCATGAAACGGGCGCTCGCAATGTGTTGGTTTCCAGCGGCTTTCGAATACCAGAAGTGGTTTCCAAGTGGTTGGTCTCAAAATGGGGTGGTCCTCTTTGTAGACGGTCCTTAAAAATGCCTACAACATGAGGTGTCACTCTCTGGTTCGACCCCTTCAATGGAGGGTCCACTGATGCTGAGAGTAGTGGTTTGCCATTGGTTTTACAATACAACTTTCACAGGTAACCAGGCGTTTGTACCGCCCCCTGGTTACCTACCATAGGGATAACTGGAAGCACTGGGATAGGGATGGATTAGGATTGGCCAACACTCCATTTTCCGATGGTTTCCTTTTGGTTTCCCCGAAAAACTGACCAGCCCAAAAGGGCTTCAACACACCGTCCATGAACAACTAGTCACAGTTGTACAAACCGGCTTGGGATTGAGCTGGCCGGTGGATTGTTAAGGGATCAATGACAACTGCGGTTGTTTCCCCACATTCCAATTCATAATGGAGCCAGACAAAACACACAACAGCAATAATATTAGTAATAATAATCATAAGAATGATCATTACTTTAAAACAACAACAACAAAAAACCTGAGGCTGAGCAGGTGGCGGAGTCTTTTGGGGTGTTCCCCATCACCCATCGATAGCCATATCGATGGGTGGACCATTTGGGGGTTGCTCAGAACTCCTGGCCCCCCGAAATGCCCATGAGGAATGGTTCCTTTTAGTGGGGGGAACGGCATCTTTCTAGGGGTGCCTTCCAATTCCATGACGGAACCCAGGGATCCGAATCTTTCTAAGACACCTGAATAGACCCGAGGGAAACGGGCCCGGTTCTTGAAAAAGAAGGATGGTTGGAAAGAATGGAAAAGGAATCAAAGCCTAGAATCTTAGTGGTTTACCAACCAAGGCTCATCCCATGCAAAGGACCTTTTGATGCACCCCCAGTTGAACTTGAGGCTACTACCACTCCATAGTCTTTGCCCGGGTCCGGTCCTCAGTGGAGCGGTTGCTGATTGCTGGCCATGTCAAAAGGTGGTAGTGGTGTTCGATTCAAGGAAGAGTGAGAAGCTTGGCTCCCAGCCATTCGGTCCCTAAGGTTTTTGTAGTTTTGGTAGTTTCCACCAAGCCGCTAAAAGTTACATTGTTGCGGTAACATATTGTAAGCGTCATTTTAGTCGTCACCAGACGCTCCAATTTTGGACGCCTGATTGCCGCAACCCTGAAAAGTTAGATGCTTAGCAAGGGATCTGGGAACAGCCCAGTTGACCAATTCGCCCAACACCAAGCCATTGTGGCATTGACAGGATAGCCGTGCTGGAACAAAAAGTCACAGAGTCTTGGGCACTGCTGAGTTCAGATCCTCGCCACCAGATCACTGCAGTCGATTCCCTAGATTCTGAGGGTTTTGTATTACACCCTGGGATTACACCCTTGGGAAATGACCCAGAATAGTTCAAAATAACATGGTTTTGTCCGGAAATGTGCCTAAATGGGGGGTGTAATACAAAACCCTTAGATAGATGTGAGAGGTGGGGAGCAAGGGACCCCTGTAATTTTCAGTCGGGTGAGATTGTTCACACTGTTCAGAGTGTACACATACATGCGCGCGCGTGTTTGGCACACAGTCAGAAGAGCGTTTGCAGGACCTGACGAAAAATCCTCAGTACTACCCGGACCTGAAGCATACGCCGAACGCCCAGTGCAGTTTTCCTGTCTGAGATGGTTTCTGCAGCCAATCCAAACCACGACCCTCACTCACTCACTACAAAGCGGCATAATGTTGACCCAGGATTAGTAAACTCGTCCCATTGTTAGGGGCGGGTCCCCTCCAAAAGTGATGGTTCCCCACTAAAAGGGGACACCCCCCAATCAAAATCAAGCAGGGGTTTATTTCTCGGGGTGATCATTATGCCCTGTTTTGGGCCCGGAGGAACTGGTTTGAGGGTGACCATCTTAGATGCCAACCTGAGAGCCGCTTTTGCTGAGGCAGGATGAGCGGACCAAAGCCAAGGAAAGAGGGGAGTGTTTGAGAGTCTGGGAGGGCGGTTGTCCAACAAATGGGTATGGGTCAAAATGAACCACTGGAAAAACCGCAGGTTTAAGAGCTTATTTCCCATTTACCAGGGCAAGCCGTTTGGGGTACCTATTTTTGACCACCCAAATGGAAACTGGGGAATCACCCTATCCTCAAACACCGATGGCTCAAAATTAATGAGCTGGGGTTCCGCTGGTTTTGGTCTTTGGTTTCATTTATCAAGGTGCCATTTTGGTCCCACCTTTTTTGAGCCACAGCCAAATAGAAACAGGGGAACACCCCATCCTCAAGCACTGTTGATACAGGAGTGTGTCTCAACAAAAGGATTCGGTGCCCTAAAATGGCCATGCTTTCCGGTTGGTTTCCCTTTAAATGCCAACTGCAAGGGGTCCTTTGAGAAACCCTCATGGCCCATAGTATCTGTGTTTATATGTATACATATATATATATATATATAATGTATACACATGTATATACGAACATGCCTCGTTCCTTTCGGTAGTGGCTCGGGGTGGCAAAAACCCTATAGTCGTGGTCGTGATCTTATCGGCGACAGGAGATGTGCGAATCCGTCTTCACAAACTTGGCGCCCGAGGCTTACCGAAACGATGCCGGATTTGTTGGGATCTCTTTTGCAACCAGTTTGCATCTTTAGGCTCACTAATATGGAGCAAAATCAAGCATACGATTGGTGATGATTCAAGAGGAACACACGATCTTAGACCCTGATTCGGCATTGGCAAACTGAAATGCCTCTTTTGCCCTTTGCTCTCGTGTTTCCTTCATATTACACTTTTGCTCGCCTCGCGAGGTGTCAATTTGTGCAGGCGGTGGGATCGGTATGGCCAAGTCGAAGGGCACGGTGAAAAGGCGGGCCAACTTGAACTCACTCCCCGAGTTCCTGGACTTTTTTCGGGCAGACCGTTTCGGCAGTAGACAAAAGAGTGTACTGTACACTTCTTCTGGCCCATCCACTCGGGAAGTGAGTGAAACGTCCCTAAAGCCTGCCGTAGCTTGTGACAAGCCCCGTTTAGCTTGAGGCCAAGCTATTTTTTGCTGTTGGTTTTAGAGGGAAGCTATCACTACTGGAAATAGGCTCCTTTTTTTCCAAATGAAGGGTGTGCAAGGTGCTTTTTGAGCAACCCTGAACGCTTTGCCCCCCATGGCAACTAAAAACCCGCATGGACTTTCTACATTTGCCGCGGTTCGGGCATCTCGTGGAACGTGGTGCAGGTAGGAGGGTGCTCAAATTTGTGGTATTCGGATACCCGCATCGCCTGGTCAATGTATGGGGAGGGTCCACTATCCATCAAGAAGGCTGAGTTCCCAATACTTCATTATTTGAGGCCTTTATAGGGATAAATGCCCGCAAATTATGGTTTCCCTTGTGTAGTTGGACAAACAAGTTTTCAAATTGTTTTCCCGGATGGTGCCCCCAAACCTAGCGGGTGAAACTGCCTAGCATCCAAAAAGGGAACTTTCGAGAGCGGTTTTTCCTTAGGGGAGGAAGTACTCGAAAGCTCCAAATACCAATGCTGTTGTTAGTGGGTATTTTGTGAGAAACCCACGGCTTTCCCTGATGAATACTGATCCTTTTAGTACAAGGTCAACATACCAACTGAAAAAACAAATGTGTATTTGGAGTAGGGGATATGAGTGTTTACTTGTTCCCCAACCTCGATTCCAGTTTGAGAAGCGCTGCTCCAAGAATGGCCCTATGTCTCCTGGTTTTAAAGGAAACCCGCACAATGAACAAGAAGAAAAGAAGAACCAAATCGAAAGAGTCATACTCTTTCCAAGAAAGCGGAGAAAGAGGAGCAAGAGAATCCAGAGACAGATGCCAAGTATGTGTTTGAAGCTTGTTTGGCACGGGGCTACACCCACATGGGTCTTTGTTTTAAGAGAAAACCATTCTCTTGCAACCATTGTCTCACTCCCTGAGTTCATGGACTTTATACTTTTTGGGAAGACCATTTTGGTGGTAAACAAAAAGTGCGGACTTTTTTTGGCCAATCAACTCAGGAAGCGAGTGTCTTTTCACTTCTTTCGACCTCGAAGCTGAGAGATCTGGGGCCATTCGATTTGTGTGGCTTGTGAGCCATGGTCAAACGACCAGGTTTCTTGCGGCTGGTAGGGATGGTCATCAACACCTATTACGTTATATAGCTTCCGATTGATCTGGAGGACCGTACTAATCAGGGGTGGGTCCGCTTGAGGAAGGAAACGGCACATACATATGGAAGGAAACGGCACATACATATAATATATACATGTATATATATATATATGTATTATATATATATATATATGTATTATATATGTATATGTATGTATATATATATATATATATACACATTGCGGGAGTGCCAATGACTACTAGTTTCCTCCAGGTTAATCCGAAGTCAACATTGGGGGTTTTAGGCAATTCGAAGGCTTCTATTGAGGAACCGTCACCATGATGTCTAGGAGTTTGACCACATGTGTCATAACCAGATTTTAAAATAACAACCCCATTTGTTTAAGGGGTCAAAAGGAGACTCCAGGAAAGCGCACCCATTTTGGGAAGCCAAAGTCACGGCTTTTCTGAGGCTGGTGCAGCTGAAATACGGCCTCAGCCTGAGCCCGGACAACTGTGAGCGCGGCAAGGCCGGGAGCTGTCGTGGGAACCCAGTCGACGGGCTCACCCATTTTTCAGGGTAGGCCTGAGATCCTCGACTTTAGTCACGTTTTGAGTTTGGACCATTTTGGTGCTAAACCCCTTCCACTCAGGAATTGAGTTTTGAGGGAACCCCTTGTTGGGCGTGAGCACCCAAAACTGATGAGTGTTGGCCATATTTCAGTTCCTCTACCTGGCTTCATTGTGGTGGCAAGGGCTCTATAAACCTTGACTATGATAGAGCCAAAAGGTACTGAGTGTTGGGCGATCATTGCAGGAACCACTGAAACAGTTCAAAACAGGGGTCCTCGTGCATCCCGTCTTGGCCTGCTTCAACCATGAACCCTGGGTACCACAGAAGCCCAATTAGACCATGGGTAATGTCCAAATGGGATTAAACATTGCACCGGTAATAAAGACAACTGGGGGGCCCAAAAGAATTAATAAATGCACCTGAAATAAAGACAAGCCCCTGCCCCCCCCCCCCCTGTCCCCCCGCCCATGAAAAAAACATGTCCCAACAAAACGTCACAAAAAAGTCACACAAAAAAAGAGAGAAAGAGAGAAAGGACAGGAAGGAGAGGAGAGATAGCCACCCCTGGTCCTTGGATCTTTGGTACCTTGTTCCTTAAATCCAAAACTGTCAGCTTTACCAAACCCATGTTTTCTTACATGTCTCTTGTTTAAAACCTGCCCACAATCAAACCCACAAAGGGGGTAGTACTTCAGCCCCCAACTTGACATTATTTCAGGGGCCCCCGAAATAAAGTCTTGTTGCCTGGCCCCCTGAAAAATACAACCTGCCCAGTGCAATTGCCTCTTAGCTAGTCAAGTAGTTAGACAGCCTAGGTGAGGCTGGCAGTGCTTCATGCTGTGTTGTTAGATTTGGGCCTGCTCCTCAAATCTGTCAGCTTTACCAAACCCATGTTTTCTTACATGTCTCTTGTTAATGCCCAAAACACAATCAAACCCACAAAGGGGGTAGTACTTCAGCCCCCAACTTGACATTATTTCAGGGGCCCCCGAAATAAAGTCTTGTTGCCTGGCCCCCTGAAAAATACAACCTGCCCAGTGCAATTGCCTCTTAGCTAGTCAAGTAGTTTGACAGCCTAGGTGAGGCTGGCAGTGCTTCATGCTGTGTTGTTAGATTTGGGCCTGCTCCTCAAAACTGTCAGCTTTACCAAACCCATGTTTTCTTACATGTCTCTTGTTTAAAACCTGCCCACAATCAAACCCACAAAGGGGGTAGTACTTCAGCCCCCAACTTGACATTATTTCAGGGGCCCCCGAAATAAAGTCTTGTTGCCTGGCCCCCTGAAAAATACAACCTGCCCAGTGCAATTGCCTCTTAGCTAGTCAAGTAGTTTGACAGCCTAGGTGAGGCTGGCAGTGCTTCATGCTGTGTTGTTAGATTTGGGCCTGCTCCTCAAATCCAAAATTGTCAGCTTTACCAAACCCATGTTTTCTCACATGTCTCTTGTTTAAAACCTGCCCACAATCAAACCCACAAAGGGGGTAGTACTTCAGCCCCCAACTTGACATTACTTGAGGGCCCCCGAAATAAAGTCTGTTGCCTGGCCCCCCCAAGAAAAACAAAAGGAAGCTCCAGCAATACTAAATCAAATGGAAACTCAAGTCTACCGATACTAAATCAAATGGAAACTCATTTCCAAATCTCAAAAAGGAAGCTCCAGCAATACTAAATCAAATGGAAACTCAAGTCCAGCAATACTAAATCAAATTGAAACTCAGTTCCAAATCTCAAAAGGAAGCTCCAGCAATACTAAATTAAATGGAAACTCAAGTCTACGAAATCTCAAGATACTATTCTGGGTACCCCCTTCGTTGAGGGGGGGGGGGGTCCCCCCTTTACTAATCCCATTTGGACATTACATAAAGCGTGTACCACCTTCTCCGAGTACCCTTTATTTTTACCCCTGACTCAAAAGAGATGTATATCTACCATGAACAAAAAACAAGCAAAACTGGTTGATAACTTCAAAGGCAAACAAGCTTGTCTCCCAGTTGAGTATACATCTCTTTCTTTTGGGTGGTTTTTCAGTTGTTGGACACCCCCTCCAAATTTTCCTGGAAAGCCCCTCAACACCCACGATACCCGCTTTTTGTTGGTGGTACTGTGGAAGGACGAAATCCTGCACCACCCAAGAAATCCTGGAATGATGAATTTTCTGTAAATACCCATAAGCAGTGGTTTCCCGTGGTTTCTACCTGGTGCCGTATTTCGTCCATCCACAGTATGTACTAAATATCATATCATTCCATCTGGAAAGTCCCTAAACCCTGGAAAACGGGGAATTGCTTGAACACCATGGTCCCATACCCTGGAAAGTCCCTAAACGAAAATTGGAAACGCCTGAAAACCGTTTGGAAAGTCCCCACACCCCAGAAAACCGGGAAAACCATACCCTGAAATTCTCCACCCCCCCGCCAAAAAAACAAGAAGGAACGAAAAGAACAGAAACCTGGCAGCGGGGAAACCCCGCAAAACAAAGGAGGGGTATTTTTGAGAAATACATCCGCACCCCAAAACCAAAAAGCATGCAATGCCGCCCTCTCGAGGTGTTCCAGGAGGGCGTGAAGTCCGCTTCGGAGGCCTTGAAGCTGAACGCTCAGAACGCAACTCGCCCTAAAACCGAGCGCTGAGCGCTGCAGGGCGTGGTCCGGCGGTTTGTGTGAGTGTGGGTGTGGGCTGGTGGGAAACAGGGGGGAGCGGATTTGGGAGTGTCTCGTTTTTCGAGGGGACCCGTTTTGGGTTTTGTGTGTGTGTGTGTTTTGATTTTGAGGGAGAGCAGAAAGTTTTGGGATCGCGCATGAGACAAAGGTTGTTTTGGTTGCGGCTTGTCGAGCCATGTGCAGTCAGGATTCAGTCTGAGATTTAGACATGGTTGTGGAACATAGTCTTTGAAGGCCACTTGTTGATGATGATTGTCTCCTAAAAATGAAAGTAGTCGTCAGGATTGCCCACACTCGTGTCACAAGTTTCCTAGAACCATACGCCATTGTCAAAACCAGTGAGATGAAGCCCAGCAAACAATCAGCTTGGGGTAGACTCCTTTGATACCAAATGTTGATTGTGATTCAGCTGGAGATAAGGCTCAACATGATCAAGGTCCATCAGTGTTTTAAACCACCTGCAGATCAACAGTGGATTTCCTGTTCGGGGGGACCTGTTTTTTGGGGTTCCATGTTTGGGGAATTTGCAGATTGGTCAGCAGTTGCAAAAGACATAGGAACCCCGCACGAATCACCCCATCTTGGACTCCGTCCTATTCAGTTCTCATTTGACGATTGGATCCAGCTAAACAGAGGTGCATTTTGCTTGGATGTTAGGACTTTAACCTTTTTGCCAACTACTGGGTTTTCCATTAAACCACCAAAAGTTAAACTTTTCGCAGGGGAGCGGAAAGCAACCGAGTAAAAGTTGATGAATGCTGTATTCTCTGTCATTCTGGCCAAACCCATTGCATTGGCATTATTTTAGTAAGTGGTTCTACTACCTGATTCATAGGGTCATGGTAAGGCTCATGTAAGCCTTTATAACCATTTTAGTAGAAGCAACAGTCAATGGTTGTGGGCGCTGCCCAAACAAGTTGATAAAAAGCAGCAACAGGTGGTTTGTTGCCAGCAAGCGGAGCGGCTAGCTTGGGGCGAGAGCAGTGCTTGGCCGTTTGCAACGACCTAGCATCCGCTAGGGTATTGCGCAGCCCACTGCGCCCCCTCACTTAACCTTTCTTGAGGTAGGTGTGCGGGCCATGGATCAAGAATCAAGAATCAAACATGAGCAAACAAGCAACTGGTGCTCAAAGCGTGCGCCAGTTGCAGGCCTCGATGGTTTTCCCTTTTAAGTTGATCTGCTTCACACCTAGGTCCCCCAGCAATGTGCCCTTTTACCAACTTTTTTGGGGGAGGGTTCCCCTACTAAAATAGACAACATAAAAAAGGGTACCCTTCTTGTAACCTCTCTACTGGAGGACCTAGACACACCAGTTGCGGGACTCGCCTTGGGGGAAGTCGTAGGCCTGCTTTGATCTTCGGTATTTGGAATAGAAGTTGGGGAGCCAATTAAAACAACTGCGATGCTACCGTGGATGGATGAAATCCACTTTGCACGACCTAAGCACCCCTGGAATGATTCGATTCCCCAAATACCCACCCGCAATGGTTTCAACCATGGTTTCATTTCGTGGTGCGAAAGGATTTCGCAACCATCTGGAAAATCAACCACATGAGACCTTCTGGAAAAAAACAGAAAACACGACAAACAACAGCACAAATAAGAAAGCACTAGCAGGAGCCCGTAATCCTGTGGATGGACGAAATCCTGCACCACTTGGAAACAATGGGAAACCATTATTTATTGGTATGGGCATTCATCATCCCAAGATTTCTTAGGAGGTGTGAAATGGATTTTGTCCCTCAGTAAGCTCTAGTGCCTAAACCCAACTGACGTCGCAGTGGAGTGGTTTCACTGGGCACCGATTAGGTCAAGGCGCTCTTTCGCCGGGGCTCGCTGAATTTTGTGGTGGCCAAGAGCTGCAAACACAACGCCGAGGCAAGGGTCAGTTGACCAGCGAAAGCTCCCCAAAGACCTGTTTTGGTTGGGTCGAGTGGTACACCTGAATACTCAAACTACCCCTAAAAATGGGTTATCGCCCCAACCCCATTTTTAAGGGTCCAGGTATAGAACTTGTTGGAACAACCTCTTTTGGTTTGGTACAAGTGTATTTGGAAAGAATACTGTTTTTTCCCTGGGTTCCTGCCACGAGCTGGAACCACAATGCCAGAGACGTGTTTCGTCACCGTTTCATCGACCTCTTCGAAGCCCTGCTGATTCTCTGTTCGAGAAGCTTCCGACCCCTGGACTCGCCGAACTGGGGGGACGAACCTTTCACCTTGTCTTCTTGGGCTTCTTAGAGTCCACTAAAGGTGAAGGGCCCCCAGTTCGTCCCCACTAAAATCTTTCATCTTTTAACCTTTCATCTTAGAGTCCACTATGCGCCACGGTTAGATCTTCCACTGAAGATCCGGGCCGAAACCCTGGGACGATGCCGATGGCAGGCTCAGGAGGTCTGTGGTGAGGCCAAGGCGGATTTCCTGAAGGTCATCGAGGCGGGTGGGTGTTATGTCCGGGGATACCTTAAGTCATAGGTGATATGATATGGTCAAAAGACACATTTATACTTGATACCAGGGATGGTCATCCGCTTGGAAAGGATCCTTATTCCGGAGCCAAAGACAGATTTTTGCTTTTGGGGATACCCTCCTACCAATTAAGATGGAGCCTGACGTCCGGGGGTTATTCAACGACCCCCTATCAGGTTCCATGTTAGCAGGGTACCAGAGATGGTAACCCACTTGGAAGTAAGGATCCTAAATAACTATGGAAATGCTGCCCAAGAAGAGAACCATGATCACATGGCACATATGCTTCCAGGCGTTTTGCCACGAAAGGCGGGTAAGGGAAATCATCCATGGTAAAACCTGGAGTTAAGATTGCCTACTATAGTGGAAACTGGAAGCACTGAGAGAGGTAATCTGGGTTCTGTTTGTGTATGGTCACGGTTCCCTGAATGAGAACCTTTGCATTGTTGTTCTAAAACCCGTCAAAGGTTCATCCCCAAGAAGAAGCATAGCCACTTTCAAGAAGACAATTTTAGTGCAGAGTAATAAAATAAGTTTGAACTTGTCCTGGCCAATCCTCCCAGGAATGGGTATCTTCACTGTTCTTGGCTGTTTTTTGTTTCTTCGTTCTGGACAAAGTTTTAGTAGGCTGCAAAAACCCTGACACGTTTGCTACCGTACCAAGAACGTGTCAAAGGGAGCCCCTCCAAGTGGTCCGTTGTTTCCTTCGGTCGCACCGAAATAATGGCAGCGCAAAAAGGACCGCAAACCTTTGGTTGTTGGATGGCGGGGGGTCCTCGTTTACAGGAATCCTTCACTTGTTTGGGGAAAGTACCCTCCAACATCCAACTGGTTTATATCAATCCGGAGTCGGCGCGGGAACTGCTCGAAAAATGGTGTGCATAAATGTCCGTGCTGTTGTTTTTCCTGATGTCCACTTACCTAGAGTCTCCATGACCCCTAAAGAAGTGGCATAACTCCTTAATTTTGGGTAATGATCCCATTTTTAAAGGGTCATGGAGACTCCAGGTACTTGGGTCGCCACGTACAGTTCCTACCCTGAGCCACATAGCCATTAACTATTGAGCGAGGAGGGAACAAAACGCCCTGCACCACACTGAACACCAAACAGGTGCATGGGCGTCGTCAGAAATGGGTATGAACTATTCTTCTTTATTTTTTTAAAGAACCTTGAAGGAACCTAGATGGGGAATTCGTCGCCCTAAACTCATTTTGGGTGTGAGGGACCCGAAATGGTGGACATTGGGGTTGAGATTTGTTTTCACCCACTTGGTGAGGGGTCTCAACTGCGAAGACTGGCCAAAGCCCCAGGTTTGATATGGGCTTGCTTCTTCCAAGGCAATCATATAGCTAAAAGGGGAGGTTGTCTCTCCTGTTAGCCACTTGGGGTATGCCCCCCTAATATCAAGGTTAACCCCACACTCACAGAGGGCGAAGTGGCTTATAGCTTGAGTTGGGATTTCTCCCGCGGAACTTCTCACATTTGGCCGTCAACCCAGAAGTACTCTTGAGTAGTTTCAAACGGACACGAGTTTGACTTCACAGGCCAGCTCCTCAAGGTGAATGTCACAAACCTCCAGCAGCGGTTTTCTCAGATGGCCGCCCTTTTGGTTTGGTCCAAGGGAAAAACCAGAAGGAAGACGACCATTGACTGATTCCTATGACGAGAATGAAAGGGGATTCCCTTGAAGGAAACCACCAGTGGGAGGGTTTATGACTGTCATTCCATTTCTCATTCCCTGCCAGCAAGTTTGGTTTGGTCAAAGGAAGACGACCTATCGACCCATTCCTACTGTGGGTGGACCAAATCCATTTCGCGCCTAAGAAACCATGGTTGAAACCACTTGTTGGTATTTAACACTTGAAACCATGGTTGAAACTACTGTTTCCTGGTATTAGGGGAGGATGAAACCACTTGTTGGAGTATTTACGTTGGGGAATCAACTCAGAGCCCCGGGTGGGTGCAATTTCTGGATTTCGCGTGACCGAAGGCGGAGCCGCAGAACCGCGAGGCGCGAGCTGAGCTCAAGGCGCTCCAGGAGACGCCGATCGGATCCGACCGCCGACGCCGACGCCGATGGTTCTCGGGGCACGAATGGGGAGCAACATCCCCCTTTAAAACATATGGCCATGGGTCATGACCTATGCCTCCACGTTGGGGCGGATGAATATTTATGTACCACCTATTTTTATGTTCACCAGGGGTACAGGGTTTTGACCCACAGCCCTTTTACCCTTTGTTGGGGGAGGGTTCCTTTACTAAAATAGACAACAAAAAGAAAGGGTACCCTTATTCTAACCTCTCTACTGGAGGACCTAGTGCCCCAAGACAGTCTCTGGGCGATGACCAGGTGCCCCGGTTCTTTCGGTGTTTTTTTTGCTTTTGTTTTTAGGGGTTCCCAGGCGTGCGGTTCCTGAGGTTTTGAGGTTCTTAGTTGGTTTAGTGGTTGGGTGCTAGCTTTTAGGCCACTGAAAGCTAAACTCCTAGCAGGGGTTCTGAGAACAGCGCGGAAATGGGTGGCTTCCCTTTAAACCAACACCAGAAAGGGTTCATGGTGTGGGTCATTATTTTGTGTTTCGGGTTGTCAGAGTCAGCAACTGGGGTGTTTCCCTTTATAATCATCACTCCGTGACTTTGACCATGGTAAGCAGAATGGTGCCAGTCGAAATGAGATGATGAGAGTCCGTTTTTTTTCCAGCCGTATTGACTGAGGTTCCGCTTGGATGGTTGTTTGGGTGTTGAATAGTCCAGAATGCTGAATGAGCGCTTGTGTTGTCGTATTTGTGTGTGTGTGTTAGTGTTTTCCAGGGTACCGCCTGCGGCAGTGTCAAAGGCTTACCGTTAGCCTTTTAGCCGCTTTGGCTTTTTGCTTCCCCTTTCCACCAGAAACAGCTTAACTTTTTGCGCCTGGCCCAACGAACTGTTGGATGGTGGGAAACCCAAACATTGGGACAACCATACGGAGTCAAGATCGAGAGGACCTTAAAGCATATCACATTTGGGAGGTTTAATCAAGGGTGCCCTTGCAACAATCAGCATTCTATCATCTAGCCTGAGGCGAACTCGGGACTCACCAAATTGCCATCAGGAAATGGGGGGGTTACTCACCAACATCCCGTGCCACTTGGATTCACTTTCGAAAGTCGGTATCTGTTGGATCGCCAAAGGCATGCCGCCCATTCTTGGGCCGCGGGCCTCGCTTTTTTGGCAGACGCCGTTGGTCGAAAGGTTGACATTTTGGTCAGGAGCACCTGAAGGCCCTGAAGCGCGAGGAGCGGGAAGGCGGGGTAACTGGGGTAACGCGATGGGGCGGCTCGATCTTCTTAGCCCCAGTGCCCGGCTTTTTCGAGTTGTTTTGTTTTATTCGAAGAAGAAGAACATAAAAGTGACTCTCTTTTTTGGGCCATACCCAAAAAAACAGAAGGCCTTAGTTTCTTTTTTTTTTTGGGGGGGGGGTTAAAAACCTAGACGTAACGAAACCTGGTTACGTACTATAGTGCCTTGCTTGGAAGAACTGGGAATGTGTGCAGATGACGGTTTTTTTGCATGACATTTTAAGGGCTCTTAGTACCGCTACGCCGGGGCTGTGGTATGTGGTGGATCATTTTTTCTGTTGGTTTTCATGATTGAGCTCGCGACCCCGCCAGCAACAGTTAGACCTGTTCAACACGACCACGTTTCTACCCTCCCAGCCACTAACATAAAGCCTGGCTGAGGGGTCCTGGCAGATGATTTTTCTTCCAGTTCCATGTTGGTGGACTGGAGCGTATCTGATTTTCAATGAGGTTTACAGTCAATGCAAAATTCACCTCCATGTTGGTGCAAACAAACGTCAATAGGTTAATTGGGAGATATTGATATTCCACTATTTCTTCCTGGAACTAATCATCAAAGGGTCACTTATGCAAGCCTTTGATTCGCGTGTGTTTGCGGAATCCAAAGTGAATGTGTCCAAACAGGCGATCTGAACCTTAATAATTCATTTTAGATCCCAATGTCATTGGATCCACTGCATGGTTGTGGGAAACTTGGGTAGTGCTCCTTTCTGTAGAATTGACAAATTAATCGTGGGAATTAATCGTTTTGGTATGGATTGCAAGTTATTTTTACAAGTCAATACGTAATACCACAGAATGTGGTAGGGAATTCCAAAATGGACCTTGGCCTGCTTTGTCAAAGCCAGGGGTGTTGGGTTTTCTTTGGCCGTCGAAATTCCGGATTAGATTCTCAGACAATGGATCCAATGAATTCGGATTCAACCAGTTTCCTGGATTCAGGGGATTTTTGTTGGTGGGGACCCTTTGGACATCAAGTTTTCAGGTTCCGACTCTGAAAAAGAATATAGGAGACAGTCCCAGCCATGAAAAGAGGGCCACCCTATGAATTCTTCAGCCATGCAGCCTATGAATTCAGAAGGCTTTTAGGCCCTAAGACTCATAGCCTTTCTCCAACTAACATGGCACCTGTGGTACCTGGAATATTCGAATTTCCTTTTGAAGGGAGCGGGTTTTTGTCAGTTGCCGTGTGGCTGTGGGTCACCAATGGGATCCCATTTTGGGGTGGGTGAATTCACCACCCATGTTAGAACCTATTTTAGTGGCTGGATTGAATCGGATGAACTCACTGGGAATACTTGCTTTGGGTTTTGACCCATGGCCATGTTGCATTGTTCAGCTTCAAGAGAAGCTGGCCTAGAATCTAAGGGTGGAAGTACATACCCCTTGGCTTCCGTGGTTTCCAACCCACTTTTTTTCAGGGGTGTATACACCCCGCGTTGGGAGGGTAGCCCTTTCCAGGGGAGAGGCGGGAGTTCTCCTTCGCCAGCACCTTGTGCGGCCTGGGCTTCAAGGACCGAAACGGGAGCCATGGGAGGTTCCCCGAAATCCGCTGGCAGGCCGCCAACCAAAAATCAGCTCAGCACCGCCCCCCCCCCCCCACCCCCACAAAGAAAAACTGGGTGGCTCCCAGCCATCCGGTTCCTTAGCCTTTTAGCTTTTTAGTGTTCAGTGGTAGTGTCCATTTAACCCACGAAAAGTTAAGCTTTTAGCGGGGGATCTGAGGGCAGCCCAGCAAAAAACGCAAAATAAATCAAGCACAGGAACGCAAAAGCAGTGGATGGCACCTGCGTGCTGGGGCTGAAGAAGCAGCATGTTGGACTCGGGTGCTGGGGGCCAATACAACCCCCCGTGTTTACTATTCAGGATTGCCATCGAATCATCTTCTATACACGTTCCTTCCTTGCCATTCTTTTCAGGGGGGTTGAAACCTAAAATGGGTGTTTTGGGTGATTTTCCGGCAAGATGCGGAGGTTCAGCATAATTGGAAGTTACTTCTAGACTAAAAAATATGGTGCGACCCAACCACACGGGCCACAGGAAGCCCAATGTTCCCATGAGTTCCCCTTTTGGGAGGGGTTCAGACCATCAAAAGTGGGGAAGCACCACCCCCAATATCTCCCTATAGAATGGGTTTACATTATTCCTGCATCAACATTCAAGATGTCGCAAATGGGCTGGCATGACAGTGGGGGTAGCCCCCTGTAAAATAATGGAAGAAGGAGGTTGTCCAGGACAAATCTAGATGGCCCAGTTCCTTTGTTTTCGGTGAGTAAGTGGGATGACAAGATCAAATTGGGGGAATTCTCCCATGCACTTTCAACGTAACAGGTTGTTTAAACAACACGACACTGCATGTTTAAGGGTGTTGGTCCAACCCCAACTCGCACGCAAGCATTGCAAACCCCTTCCCGCCCCCTCCGTTCCTTTCATCAAAACTGAGTCCCGTTGAGGCCTGGAGGAAACCGATTCGGAGCCTTCGGATTCGGCAGCTTGTATGAGACCGAACTGCCGAGCTCATGTAGTTCCAGTCCGTTTTGGACTGGGATGGAGCTGTTGGGCAACCGCTCCTTTTCTCAACCCATCCTGTTTTTGCACTTCACCTGTTGGTCCAAGGGGGAATGTACTTCCCAGACCTTCAGTGGTTGCAACTCAACTTTCATCTTTTTGGCGGGGGTGTCCTTTAAGATAAACCAGCCAAAAAGAGTGCCGATTCTTGTCCCATGAAAATCCACTGGGCATTCGGGACTTTGAGTTTGGAATTCCTATAGCCAGTATTGACATGGACGTGTCTGCGATTTTGAGGCTAGGAGTGCAACCCATTTTGGGGGCACCCCCAGTGTTTCTTTAGGAACATAGTCCAAACCAGGACCGGTGAGGAATTCCATGAGGGTGGGGTACTCAAGGAGTGCCAGGAACCCCAAGGAACCGGGTTCCGATCGCGAATTCCGGATCAAGTAGCATATCGAACAAATTAGAGAAACCCATAGGGTCAGATATGACAGACCCCCTAAATTAGATGGCTTCCCTTTGGTCTAGGGGTACGGTGGAAGCCCTAAATATTGCAAGTGCTAGCAAAGTGGATGTTGACACCGCTTCTGTGGCATCGCACGCTGCGTGCGGACCCCTCCCACTCTCCCCCAGTTATAATGTTGAAGCCAAGCGCGTAACCCGTCTTCCGAGGCCCAATATGTTGCAAATTCAACATTTCAGGGGAGGGGGGCACGCAGATGTCTGTCGCAGCGCTTCTTCTAGTGAACCGTGCCCTCTGTTTGTTTGCTCCGCACTTGCTATTTTTTGGGGCTTCAACCGAACCTTCCCCATTTGACCTCCGGAAGCCGAGGAACGGCTGGTTTTTGGGAATGGTTGAAAGGAGTTGGAGTCAAGCCCTAGATTTGGCTTTTCAACTCACAACCACTCCCCTAGATTGCTGCACCAAAAACTCAGTTGTTCAGTGGCACGCTTTTTCCCTCTTTTTTTTTGGTGGCTGCCCCACTAGAAATGGTCTTCCCCAAGAAGGGTTCCCTTTTTTCTCCAGGGTCACTGAACAACTGAGAAAAGAGACCCAACATCCTCGGCTTCCAGGAAAAAGATCTGCTCGGGGACGGCTCTGTGCGCAAGCAGATCCTGAGCGCCGGCGATGGGGGCAAGTGGCTCAATGAGGAGACCGAGAGTCCGCTGTAAAGTTTACAACATGGAACCTGAAACCAGTTGCTTCCATTTGCTTAAGTTTTTTTCCCCGGTTTTAAAGGGAAGCTCTCACTGCTGGAATTGTGTTGTTTCTTTCAGGAGACTTAAGAACGTGGAAGCTTACAAGTGGTGGTTTCCCAGCAACATGTTCATATGAAGATGGAACATGCTAGCTTGGGAATACCCAGTTGTCAATGGTTGCCCCAGTCGCCAGGAATCATGGAAGTGGGCAGGGACTTTTGTACATCATTGTCGTCCTCCAAAGCCTTCGGTGCAATTCCGTTGGTAGGGCACAGCAACCAACACTGGTTCCGTGTGATCTGTTTCTTTGTTGGGGAAGGGAGTTGCTTGGTCCTTTAGTTGCATCACTGTGATGTCCATATTTGGATTTTCGTGGTTTGCTGCACACCTGCTTGTGGTACTTGTGCGGCCAAGAGTTCAACGCAAGTTGTTTGGATTCAAGCTATACCCTAAAACCCTGTACAGAATGAAAGACTCAAGTGTGAGCAATTCCCCAAACACACCCACTACCCACCAACCACCCACCACCCACCACCTACCACCCACCACCCACCACTCACCGCCCACCGCCCACCGCCCACCGCCCACCGCCCACCGACCACCGCCCACCGCCCACCGCCCACCAGCAGCAGCAGCAGCAACACCAACAACAGCAGGAACAACAACAACATACTGAATAACACAGCCATAGTGATGTAGCTAAAGGGACAGCAATTCGCTCGCCAAAAAAAGAAAGCAACTTATGACGCAGAACCACTGTTGGTTATTGTATTCTCTTTCTTACCAACGATCACGGAAGTGGACAGGAAGCTTTGGACAACCACGATGAAAAACAGGCCTGCTGTCCACTTTCATACTCCAGGTCCCCCAGTAGTGCCTTTTTACCTTGTTTTGGGGGAGGGTTCCCCTACTAAAATAGACTACAGAAAAAAAGGTACCCTGATTCTGACCTCTCTACTGGAGGACCTAGTACTTGTTGGAAGGAGGGCCGCTTGCCAAAAAAAGAGCAGCTCCAAGCCCTCATGTTCGGAGTCCTGAGTCGGGCAGGATTGGCTGAAGTGGACAGGATCCACCAAATGCTGCCGCCTCAGAAGCAACAGTGAAACATATCTATATGGGGGTTGATCAAAAGGTCCTTTTCATGGGATGACCATTGGACAAACCACTAAAAAGATGGCATTTTCCACTGGATGGGAAAAGTTACCCATGGTCATTTGGGGAGCCTTGATCAACCCCATATGCAGGGGACAGTCCCAGCCAGACGTTGATTGAAGGAAGTTTCTGCCTTCGATTCTTCACTATGGGCGTTCCCTTTTGACGCACTCAAGTGATGCCAAGACAGGTGTGATCCACCTGGCGGTACGATCCCTTGAAGGCACGAGGGGCTGGGCTCGTGGCTCGGCGGAACTGTTTGGTCCAAACGGTTCTGGCAGCAAAAGTTGCCCGAAGCGAGACTTGAATGGTTTTGTTCCATGTGGCTTCAGGAGAGTGTGCTTTACCAATCCCAGGGGGGGCGGAAATGTGTAGAACCAGGGGCCCATGATAGATGTTCACCAAAACATCTTCCTTTACGTCATACATCAAGAGTGGATGAGCGGATCAACAGCCTCTTGTTGGGACCATGGCGTTCCTTTTTAATCAACAAAAGAAGAGTCGGCCCTTTTTCGTGTCATCACCTAAGAAACCCCGGAAAGATGATTCCCCTGTAAACTCCAACAAAACCGTTGTGGTTTCAACCATGGCAACTCATTTCGCGGTGGTCACCCGGATTTCGCAACCATCCCCAGCGGGGTGGCTGATCCTTTCTCCCGCCGGCGCCACCTTGAGGCGCTGGAGAAAGCCCGAGGAAGCCAACAGCCGGGGGGAAACCAAACGGGCCAGACGCAGTTGGGCAAGAAGAACCTGACAAAAGACAAGCTCGGACGAGGGTCGTCGGATTTGTTTGGGCAGCGCGCAAAAAAGTCAGGCACTTCAACGGCCAGAAGAGGAGGTTTCGGGCTTGTTTTTGTTTGGGCCCATGTTTCCTCTTTGTAAGAAAGTCCCATCTTGGATGTTCAACCTGACAAAGTGGGTTGTTTTTTGCATGGTTATAGCTCCCACTTCGAAAGAAAGTCCACCACATTTTGGGAGGTTCAAGCTGCTTCGGCAGCTCTGACTGGGGCTTAATTAGGCCCTCTGCAGAAAGTTTAACGTGTTGCTTCCCGCATTTTTGACTAGTCGGTGGCATGATTGGCATTCATTTGCGTGGTTGAAAGGCCGAATCATGGAAAACAAAGAAGGCAAGCAGTCAAAAAAGCAAGTTCAGTCTGGCGATGCTAAGTGGGTTGCAACAATCTCAAGCCGGTCAAGACAAGAGTTCTTGGTGGCGGTTCCTTAGCTTTTTAGCTTAGTTGGTTTATTGGCTGGTCTCCATTTAACCCGCAAGATAGTCACTGTTTATCGGAAAACGGGCTGCCCACGGTTGGCTGACCAAGTTGTTTTGCCAAATCTGGGTTTGATTGGGTGACCCTGAAACTGGTTGGTTTCCCTTGTCCCTCCAAAACGGACCCAAAGAGGGTTCTAATTCTAGGGGTACCTTCCCCGTTCTTTCCAGGGATCCCTCTTTTCAGGAAACCATCAACAACCCAGTTGGGGAAACAGCGATCGGCTTTTGAGAAGAGAACGATGGTTGAAAAGAATGGTTGGAATCAACTTTGGGTTGGAATCAACTCTTGAAAGAGAATGGTGGAATCAAGCCCTAGAGTAATGGTCAAGAGTTGGTTGACGATCCGACCTGGAATGAGTCCAGAGGCGAGGCGAACGCCTCCGCAGCCGTGGCCCCAAGCAGCGATGGCCGTTTGAGCGACCGAAGCCAAGGCGGTCGAGCCTCATTTTTTGGGAGTCCCGGAACCAGTGGTCCCAGAATGCGTAAGGGGGATTAAGGGGGGGTTCCCTAAGGAACCTTCAGGATCGGGAACCCCAAGGAGCAATTTCGGGCTCTCAGCCTATTTCCGGCTGGGAGTCCATCAACAAGGCGCGAGCCATGGGCCGGGTGTTTCACGCAGAGGTGTCAAGTCTCAGGTCCTCGAGTTTGGACGATTTTTGTTCAACCAAAACGTGGCTGTGGGTAAAACGAACGGGCCATTTTGGGGTAGGTGCACCACCCATTTTAGTCTGTTTTTGTACGGGATTTTGACCCATGGCCAAGCATGGTTTAAAACCAATGGGCCAATCCACTCGGGAAGTTAGAGCTCATATTCTGGAGCGGCTCGGATATCCATTGGCCCAACTGTTCAACTTGAGAATTGCGCATTGGCTCCCGACCGAACAAGGTCGGAGATTTGTGCCAACCTGTTAGTCCCAACACCTGCTTTGTTAAAGGACCATGTGTTTTTGTTTTTCGGGGGTTCAAAAGGGGGTCCTTCTCCAACATGTTTCCAGGGCACGATTCCGACTCAGGTGTCACTGTCTTTCATCCTGGGCGATCCAGATATGCATGAAGGCGCGAATGGCTTCGAATGGAAGCCAAGAGGAAACCGTCTATCTTGGCGGTTTTCCCCGAGTTTTTCGACAAACACATATGTGGCATGGGCAAACCACCCTTGTACCTCTGTGTACGGACGAGCATGGGCTTCGGAGATTTAGGCGACCATAAGGTCCCCAGAGCCATGACCATGACGCGGGCTGAAATTCTTTGGCCTTTCCGAAATCCATCCAGCACCCACCATGGAGAATCACATGTGCAAAATATCAACTAAGAAAAGAGGGTATTTGGACTGCGAGGGGACAAATAGTTATGATATTATTCTCCCATGATTCCATGATCATGTGGTACTTTGGTATACTACCCTATAAACCCGTTCTTGTTAATTTAGGCCCTTGCAGTAACTGCGTATTTTCACCATCGCTCGAACTCCCTCCTACCCAAATGCCCGCTTGTTTGAGGGTATACTTGAAAGACCTTCTTTTTCAGTCAGGGGGTGACAAATCATCCCCTGCAAGTTGTCTGACAAAAGGGGACCCCCCCAAAACCTGTGAAGTTTGCTTCGGGTTTTTCCTTGAAACCGCTCCACAAAAAGTTCCTCGCCCTCAAAAGAAAGTGTGGACAGAAGCTTCGGGCTGCGACCGGCGACCGCGACCCGCTCGAGGTGTCAACGTGGCAGTGAAGTCGATGACCATGGGCGAGGTGGGTCTACTTGCGCCATGCCCCTGCCATATGGTTGCCTCGTCCCCTGCCATATGGTTGCCTCGTCCTGTTTTTTTTTTTTAAATATCGGGCTACCCTTTTCTTCACTGTTCTTGGCAGTTTTTGTCTTTTCAGTCTGTTGGGTCTGTTCATGCTTGATCGGGGGCTGCAGCACACGCCTGTTTTTTGCTGCCCTGGTGAAGCTTTCGGGAATGAGCTCCCCCGATTTTGAGGCAGACCCATATTGTAAGGGAACGAAGCTGAAATATTTGAGTGCTTCTGAGGGCTGTCAAAGTCAGCAAACATTTTCTTGTTGCCTTAGAATCTACCACCTAACTCAGGTGCTGACTTTGATCATGGTAAAATAATGCAACAAGTTGAAAGCCTTTGATTCACTGTGCCCCCAGGGGTTGATGGGATATACAACCACTGTGCAGCCATGTGCAAAGTGTGTCTCGGGGTCTTCCAACATGTGCAAATGTATCACGTTTGACCAAGCGGCAATTATTTTAGCCTCGCAGTTTTGCATGTTCGCAAAGCATCAGCGTGAATCAATGCAGCAAAACATCAATATTTGCCGGCAAAACGACCCTCGGGAACCTGACTGGGGGGTCCTAGTAATCTAGTTTGCTCTATAAGGGACCCTTCGGGTTCTATATGAGTGGACGGTAGAGACTTGGGCCTGCGTCCTTATAAAGCCGAGTTTGATTTGGATGTTCGGCTTGCTCGGGGGGAAAAAACAAAACAGGGTTAGCTCTCAAGGGGACTTTGTGGGCTCCGAAGTTACCAACAACTTTGCCAACACCCAAGTGCGCGAACAATGGGAACCCCGGATTAATCAACCCCGGTTTTTAAGAGGGGTAGGGTCCCTGGCTGAAATGTGGGGAATCAGACCACTTTTGGAGGGAACACCCTCGCCCCCCCTATTAATTTCGAGGGGTTTATTGATCCAGGGTCAGCGGTATAGTTCTACGTTTTGAGTCTGAGGGTACCCTGTGAGCTTTTTCGGGTCCCGGTTTTTCCTAGGGTTCCCCCTCTCAATCCATCAACCCAACCAACCTCCAACGCCGACGCCGTTCCGCGGCATCTGTTTCCCACACTGAGCGCTCCGCCCGTAGGTGTGGCTTGCGCAACAGCCCCCCCCCAAATGAATTTCAAGGGGTTGGTTGATCTCAGGTCCCTGGACCCTCAAACTACCCATAAAAATGGGATATCACCCCATAATTTTGGGGGTCAAACCCATTTTTAAGGGAATTTTGAGGGTTCAGGTCTGCGCTTTTCGAGTCTGAGGCTCCCCGGTTGACCGAACCCGGTTGACCGCGGGTTCCAGGCCGGCAGCTTCGCTTTCGCCAAGAGCCGCCTCGCGGCGGAGAGCGGCCTCACGCGGCTCCTGCCGAAGGTCACTTCCGAGGCGGTGAGGGGTGGGAGGGGGGGGGCGTTCAACTGGTTGGTTTTCGGTAGGTACTTGGACTAGGTCCCCCAGTAGCGCAGTAGTGCCCTTTTACCAGCTTTTTTGGGGAGGGTTCCCCTACCCCCAGCTAGGTGCCCTTTTACCAACTTTTTTGGGGAGGGTTCCCCTACCCCCAGCTAGGTGCCCTTTTACCATTTTTTTTGGGGAGGGTTCCCCTACTAAGATAGGGTTTTCAACTGGTTGGTTTGCGATGGGTACTCGTGGTGCGCAGGGGTTGCTTCCTTCTTTCAATTTTTTTTTGGGAAGGATTCCCCCAGACCACCAACCACAAAAGGATGCCCTTTTTTCCCCATGGCCACTGGGCATCTGAGGGTACTTGGATGTTCGATTCGTCAAGTGAGTGGTTTGCCAACCCACCAGCAGGGTTAATTGCACTGAATGGGGACTTATGAGTGGGTTATAATCAAGCTTGCCAACAACTTACTAAGTTGGCGCATCGAACACCCAAGTAGGGGATGAGACATGGAATGACCCCATGGCCCATAAACCATCCTTTGTGGTTTCCTTATATGGCTGTGGCTCAAGAACGTGTACCAAAATGGCACCTGGGTAGATGGAGCCAAAGACTAAAACCTGTCCAAACCTAGCTCTTGAACATTGGAGCAACATAAAAAGGGAATCCCAACTCCCGGTTCATTCCCAACTCCCGGGCTCGTCTTCATTCCCTATCGCCACCGATCGCAAGTGAAAGATGTGTCGCGGGCACCAAAGTGGTGCCTTCCGGAGGGGTGATGGATTTGTTGATCTGGTCTTGGACTCCCAAAGAATCCGACTGTCATGACTAGCACCCTCCAAGGGTGGCTTTTCCATTTGTTCTCAAAATGGCCCACACCAGAGCACTGCAGGTACAAATGGACCACCCTTGGAGGGTGCTGGGTAATGACCCCGGATGAATTTTGACCCCAGTTTCTTAATATGGGGTGAGGGCCCTTCCAATATTGGTCTGATTCACGAAATCCAGGTTGACACCCCCCCCTATGAACAAACTGGGGTTTATTAATCGGGGGGTTGCCACCCAGCTGGCAGGAAGAATCTGGAGAGCAGGTGTTGGTGGCGATGTGATGTGTGATGAAAAATGATCAAACACAAGGTATGTTTTACAGTTTTTTTTTGGGGTGTGTGGAGCCTCTTCTGATTAACAAACCGCCCAGCACCCTCCAAGATTGTCCATTTGTACCTGCAGTGCTCTTGTGTGGGCCATTTTGAGTACAAATGGACCACCCTGGAGGGTGCTGGCCTGTTTATTAATATGGGGGGTGTTCCCTTCCCTCCAGGGTCACCCCCTATGAATTTATTAAGAAACCGGGTTTGTTGTGCCAGGGTGCTTCAGATTTACGCACAACCACCCTCTCGGGTCAAATGTTGGTATATAAAACTGACAGTCGGATTGTCTGGAAATAAACATGAAACAGAATCTGAACATACTCTGTTCTCGGCGTACTTTTATCTACAGGGGATGACATAAAGCACAGCCAACAAGCTCAGCAAATTGCATGGCTTACATCTTGCAGACATCGCGCTTGGGCCTTCTTGAGTTGACCTACAGATACTCTTTGTGCAGCTTTCCCAAGTTGAATTCAGCTTCTTTGGATTTCTTTGGTCCATCGCCCTTGCTTTGAGATGGGTGAAAGTCAGTTTCCCTTTCGACTTTCCAACGTGTGTGTGTGTGTGTGTTTTTCAGTGGCAATCCAACAGTCGTCGCATTCCAAATGGGAGTCAATAGGACTGGTCCCAACCTTCACACTTTTGTCAGGGATTTTTGCAATTGATGCGTCGGGGAACAAAGATTGCTCCTGTTTCCTACCTATCGAAGCGCCAGGAAGTTCTCAAAGCATTTGTCTGGAGGATTAATTGTTCAACTCGGCGGAATTTGTATACTTTTTTGGAATGGCGGAATGGCAGCTTCCTAGGCGGAAAGGTTTGAACAAGTGAAACCTGTTTCTTTGTGTTTTATTTTGATTTCTTTTTTCGAGCATGTTCCAACCACATCTCTGTTTTGAACGTAATTTTAGATTGTCCCTAAGTACGGGGTCCATGGCAAGTGGTTGTGGCTCTTTGGGGGGTTTTATCAGAAGGATCTATTGCGGGTGACCTAAGGACAAACAACAGGAGCCCTGAGACCCCACTCTAAGGTTCTAAGAAGCTTCTTTTCAGGTTTTCCATGGTACCCTGGGTTGCTTTAAACGGAAACCAAAAGGAGAACCACCATCTTGGCGGTTCTCTAGATTGACGCATACCCTAAGGGAGCCAGTGGCTGACGATTCGGATAGGAGTCCAAGTGGGAGATCCACTTGCAGAAGTTTGTGACTTGGGAAGACTTGGATCACAACGGCGAGAGGCGCGTCCACACGCTTGGACACCCTGCGGAGTTGAATGCTTCCAGTGAGGTACGCTTTTGATAGTAACCCGGGGAAATCATCATGCAACACATAAGTAAAGGCCAACTATAGTAAAACCTAGAGGTGAAAGATGCAAGACACCTAGATCCATCGAATTCCAGAGGTCAGCATACCCAAGGGTCGCCTATTTTGTGGTGGCAAACCAACTTTGTCATGTGTGTGTGTGTTGCTGTGTGCTGTGTGCTGTGTGCTGTGTGCTGTGTGCTGTGTGGTCTGTGTGTGTGTGTGTGTATGATTAGCCGTCTATATATTCGTCTGGCATGGCTCTTCAGTTTTATGTTGGCTGCACTGCACAACCAGCGGCCCCTAGTTGCGACACAGGGAGTTTGCCTGAGACCCCTTTTGGCGGGAATGAAGGCAATTGCAAAGAGTGTTTCTACACGCAAAAGTAGGGTTGCGGAGTACCTCAAAGCCAGATTCCATCGTGATCTAGGAGAACAACACGTGTTTCGCCCGCTTGACGCTACATCAAGGGTAGGGTATGTTTACATTTCAACTTGACTGCTATTGGGTTGGATCTTTATACTTCAACTTTTTGGGAAATCAAGGCGTTTTCCACTAAACCCCAAAAAAGTGAAACTTTTTGCAGGGGGGTATGGCATGAATCTCGTGTTGCAATTGCATGTAGCTGACAGAAACCGCCCGGGCCGGGTCTTTGAGACAGGTTGCGGAAGGTCCAGGAAGAGGGCTACGGGGCCAGCTGCGCCGGAGAGTTGTCAGAGGCATGTGGGAACCTTCCGGCGTCCGAAAAAATCATCAAAGCATTTGGGTGGCTCCTCGGTGTTGGGGGCTCGCTGGTTTAAAGGGACACCAACAACATCATTTAGGGGTCTCCTTAAGTAAAACACACACAATATGTGGGGGAAACCGCCCCAACAAGATACTGCGTTTACCACATGGGAAAAGTTACTTATGGTCATTTTGGGGCCGAACTGAATATTGATCAACCCCCCATTTGGGTGTGTCTTGTTTCAGAGTCGCCCTCTCACTCCCTGTGTTCCTGGACTTTATACTTTTTGGGAAGAGCATTTTAGAGGCTTCCAGTTCTGATATGCAATCTAGGGTTGCTGCATCGGAAGCTCGGGATGCAGATGTGCTGGTTGTGGATCCTCGTTCTAGTCCAGATGCAGCTGGAGCCAAGTACATTTCTAAGAGGTCAAAGCGCTCATAATTGACTTCAGTAAAAATCAGCATTAATCTAAGTCAGTAACCCCTATTGTTATGCATGGGGCACCCATATCACGCATTAATAATGTGAAATTGCTAGGGGTCACGATTTCTAATCGCCTGACATGGACCACACGAGAAGATTATTAAGAAAGCAAGCAAGCGAATTTGTATGTCATATATCAACTTCAAAGAGCGTTTCGGTCATTCAGGACCTGAAGATGGGGCTGTTTTTCGCCCACTCAGCAAGTGAGCCCTATTTTCAGAGACACACACACACACACACACGCGCGTGTGATCTCGTGTGGGTTAGCGCTGAAAAGAGTGTTTGCTTGGCGGTATCTGTCTTGTTGTTGTCTTTTCTTGAGTTTTTGCTTGTCTTTGCTCTGATTCTGAGCCCCTTATCTGTCTCTTTTGTTGTTGTGATTTCTCCATAAGCATTGCAGTTCCTGCTGTGGATGGATGGGACATTTTTGGAGTTGTTCGATTACCGTAAATATTAGCAGACAATGGTTTCAACCATTGTGGCCATTTGGCGCAAACTACCAGAAGGATGTTCTAGATGGTGCACCCCGCCCCGCCCCCCCAAAAAAAGGGCTTCGGTGTCCTTTTGCTTTCCCTCAAAAAGGCTCCCGAGCCTAAGAGACACGCCCATTCGTAAAAGTGCTTGATCCCGCCATAGTACTGCGAGACGATTTTTGCGGAGGAGCCACCCTGCTGAGCGATGATCCTTTTGGCACTCCGATGCCATTGACCTGGGTCCAAACAACATTTTCAGCAACAACATGGGAAGTGCAGAGGAACTCTTACTTGCAAAGGGAGATTACAATTTTCTGAAGCTGTTTGCAGAACTGTTTGCACCACGCCATGTCGCAATGTGGCCTACTCGGACCCTTCGCGGATGTTCCACCCTAGCAGCGCTCAAAGCCCCTGGGTGGCCATTTTAGTAGTGACTCTGCCTGGTTGTATGGGTGTTGTTTGGCCTCTGAACTATTCTATTTTTCCCACCATGTGGGAAGAAACCGCGGTCAATAGGTGTTGGGCACTGAGGTGATGCACGAATCAAGATTTGCACGGCAAAACCACTGTTTTCCAGCGGGTTCCACCCTCCAACTGCCATTTGCCGAAGTTGTGTCTGTCTCTTTTCCTGTTGGGTTTGAAGGGACTCTGTCACCACACCAGGCTGTGGGTCAAAAACATGTACCAACATGGCACCTTGGCAAATAGAACCAAGGACTAAAACCTGTGTGAAGCCCTTCCGGTTCAGTCCCAAAACCTGGAGCTTTGCTGAGAACCAGCAAAACAATGGGAAGAGCTGCGGGGGGTGAATCATGAGAACACGACCTGAAATCGGGGACGCCTCCCCAGTTGCATCGCTAAAGCCACACCCACATATGGGTTTGGCTCAAAGTTAAACAGGAGGGGTTACGCAGGTTTTGGTCCATGCTTCCACTTGCCAGGGTTCCATTTTGGTACCGGTTTTTTGTGCCACAGCCATATTTGTTTTTCCAGGGGACTTGAGCCAATGAGTGGCTGGGGCTGGGCGATGAGCTGTTGGACTGGCTGGACCACTGGACGCGTCAGATCTTCGCTCACTGGCGAGTCTTTGGTCCAGACGGCAAGCTGGTACACTCCAGCAGGCCGGGCACGAGAGGGAGAGAGGAAGAGGAAGAGAGAGGGAGAGAGGGAGAGAGGGAGAGGGAGAGGGAGGGAGAGAGGGGGAGAGAGGGAGGGGAAGGGAGGGGAGGGGAGGGGAACTGAAGGAAACCTTGTCATGTGCGTCGAAATTGGCGAAACATGCCCTCGCTCCCTTTAAGGCTCCTTTGAATGGAACCACTCCCAAAACTAGTTTTGACACAGGTACACCGTGCACATGGGTGGCGACCAGGGCATGCAGCAGGTGGAGGATGAGGCGTGGCGTCGCTTGCAATCACTCGCTTGCTGAGGTTCTGGACGAATGCAAGCGGCGAAATACTGTGGATGGACGAAATCCTGCACACCTAAGAAACCCTGGAATGATGAATCCCCTGAAAATACCAATAAACAATGGCTTCCCATGGTTTCCAAGTGGTGCAGGATTTCGTCCACCCACAGTAGTTGCCAATCGTGTACTCTCTCATCATTACTATATTTGGTTTTCACATATATCCCAATGCTTCTACAGTGCGAGCGCTGTATAGACATCAGTTGGTCGAGGCCCAGGGGGGCTGAATTTGTTAGCGTCCATTTCGTCTTTGAAAGGGCTGGTTTTTGCTCTCTGGAGCCAGGGGGGCTGGATTTAGTTCCAATTTCTTGACCTTGTCTGCTAAGAATATCAGGGGCTCAATTTCTTAGCGGGTGACGAAGGATTCCTTTGCTAAGAAATTCAGGGGCTCAATTTCTTAGCGGCCTTTTCGGGTGAAGGAGTGCTTTGCTCTGAATGGATTCAGGGGTGGGTGTCAGACCACTATACTATTATACCAGCTAGCCTGTGGCTGCACCGGGGTCTCCTAAGAAGTTGAGCCCCTGAATTTCATAGCAAAGGAGTCCTTCATCACAGGAAACGGCCGCTAAGAGTTCGGGGCACTTTTCTCATGGTGAAAAATGCTCTCTTCGCACAAGTTTGCTAAGAAATTGGACGCAAATCCAGGGGCGCTCAATTTATTGGTTCTTAGCAGCAAATGCAGTTGCAACCTACTTGACTTGGCAATCTCAGCCTCTTAATTTATTATACAATGTTTTTGTTCTACAGTGTTGTTGTCGCCGCTTACATTGCTTGTTTGTGGTCATTTGTGCCGGGCTGGAGTTATCCGAAACACACACGCAAGAGGTGCCGGACTTTGTGCATTTTGGGGTTAGTTCGCTCATTATACTGGCTGACAGTTTGACTTCTGTTTGGCCAATCCGTTCAAGAAATGAGTTGCTTGCTTTTTGGACGGTTGTTTTTGGTGGAACGGAACAAATTGGTCGTGGGGTGCGGGGGCAAGTTTCCGGCATGATTACTTTCTCATGTTTGGTTTTGTGAGTTTTTAGTGGGGTGCTCAAAGAACAATGCCACTATAAGATGAAGGGTTGGAAGGTGTTTGACTTCAAGATAGCTGACACTCACAGCAACACATCTCTGTGGCTCAAGAAGTAGCTACCCAAAATGGGTTGCCCTGGTCAATGGACTAAAACAGGTCCAATTCCTCTTGGTTTAATTTTGACCCAACTGAATAGGAGTTGAATTCCCCACTCTTTTCCAGCATCTTTCTTTTTAAAGATCGCTGCAGATCCTCAGACTTTGGTCCTTTTGAAGTTGGACCTTGACGAGACGGGTCGCCCCAACCGCGAGAAACTTCGGGTGACTCCCCCTGTTTTGGGCGGTTTGGAAGGGCAACCAAAGGAAAACCCGACCCACTTTGGGGGTTCCCCCCAAAAGAAAGAAAAGAACTTCTCACGGCCGGCCGAGCGCGTTTCTAGGACAAAGAGGCTCCCTCCTACATCCTGGGGGAGACGGTGGGCCACTCAGCCGGGTTGGTCCTTTGTCGGGCCCCAAAAACCACGAAGGCCAGGCTCAGCTCGCTCTTTTCGCATATCCCATTGAACCCCTGGGGGTAGTTGATTTGGGGATTGACGTTTCCCTGACAATCACAACACCTGCAAATTGATCAAATTTGAAGGGCGGCAACTTGAAGTTCCACGTCCCTGTGAAACGGGTACCCTCAAAAAGCGACACCCTGAAGTTTCCTGATAACCACTCCAAAGTCCTACTAAAGGACCTACCAAAAAATGGCGCAACGCCCTGGATCCGGGTCCCTGAAAAATGCCAACTTGAAGTCCGTAAAGTGGCTGTATATCCCATGAAGCCGCTGAAGTGGTGTGGGGGTAGTGGAAACCATTTGCCCTGAAAACCACTCCAAAGAACCGAAGCTCGGTGCCATAGCTGTCCCTTTTGGTGTGCTTAAAGAAGAGAAGGCCCTGGTTTACCAAATCGGTGGTTCAATCATCGGCCAGGGAAACCCATCTATTTTCCGAAAAGGACCCCTATGCTCAGCGCGCGCCCACTCGAGGCTTGGCAGCCCGTGACGAGTCTCTGCCGCACCCTGCGTCAGGGCGGCGTGCGGGGGCTCAAGCCGCAACCAACGAAGCTGAAGACCGGTCTTGGCATGTGGCCATGGGTCAAAGCGCCCGTACCCCCAGTGAACATCGGCAATCCCCACTGAAATATACCAAAATGGGTGGTGCACCTATCCCAAAATGGTACCATTGGTTTTGAACCATGGCCATGTGTTTCTGGCGTTTTCACCGTTCTTGGCGTTTTTTTTTTTTTTAGCTGCTTAGTCTCAATTCTTCAGCTGTTTGGCTTTGTTGTAGCTGTTTGGTCCAAAAGTTCTTCAGTTGTCTTGTGCCATTCATTTCTGGCGGGAGACTGCCGAAAAAAGAAGCACAGTTGTTGCAACCAGATGCCACGGATTTGAAAGGAAGGTTGCGTAGTCAACGGTTGCACGGCACACTCTTGGGCCCCTTGATGCTTTCTGGTCGCAACACATCCTTGCCTCAGGCACAGGAGCTTTGGTGGAGCATGAGGGCATGCCAATTTGACCTATGTGGGCTGCTGTCTTGGGATGTCCGAGAACCCTTGCAGGACAAAAAGGGACGCCTTTGACAACTTTGAGTGAAGCCACCAAACAAGAAAGGGATGAGCGGATGCGGTCCACTGAACAGGGATTTTCCGAATTGTCCTTTGTTTTCAGGACTCCTATAAGACATACGTATGTATAATATATATGATGAACGAGGTTACATGCCCCTGTTGCGTCCCAACGGGTTTTTGACCGTTTGATTCTTGCAATGGTTCTCGAGATTGCCCCTCATAAACAACCTCAATCAAGGATCTCAAGGTCGGATCGTTCTGTTTTGGAAAACTAGGCATGTGAACCTTCGCATGCTTGTCATTTCGGCGAAAATGGATCTCTTGTACCGATTACCATCTTTACCCTGCCAATTTCCTTTTCACTGCACCGCTAGCTTGATTCTGGAACGGCATTGGAGTGTGATGGGCAGCACGTCCACACCCCTTTGCAGAGATGCTTTATTTAGCATGAGCTTTGGCATGTTTGATTTCTATCTATCTGATTCATGTCGGCACAAACAACTCGAAGCTGACCAACTTAGCGGGCACTTACCGCAGTCGCGCTTTCCTTGGAATTGCGGCTCAGGGGTTGGCTGTGGGATTTGGGGCGCCTACCCTGTGGATAGACGAAATCCTGCACCACTTTGAAACCATGGTTAACCAGTTTGTTGTTATTTGCCTGGGAATCAAATCATTCCAGGGTTTCTTAGGTGGTGCAGGATTTCGTCCATCCACAGTATGTTTTGGCAAAACCTGGCTTTAGGGGCCGGAGCCCCAACCCTCTGGAACCCTCTCTCTTTCAGACGCTCACCTGTCACCTTTTGGGGGCTTATCAACCCCCGAAACGCGAATTGCTGTTGAAAAATGCCCATCCCTTTTGATCCCTTTTGGTTCCTTGGTCGAAGGCCAAGCCTATATCAGTACCTAGAGCTCCATGACCCCTAAGGCGTCATAACCCCTTAACTTTGGTGCATTTTGCTTGAATGTTAGGACTTTAACTTTTTGCCAACTCATGGGTTTTCCGTATTAAGCCACTAAAAGTTAGTCACTTTTAGCAGGGGAGCAGAGTTCGCAACCGAGTTAATGTTGGCGAATGACCCCAGTTTTAGAGGGTCGAGACTCTACCCATGGCTGTTGCCTTCAGGTGGCCGAGCTCCGCTTGAGACACGTACCGGACCTTCCCAAGGCCGAGATTCTCGGCCACTGGGGGCGGCGCTGAAGAAAACGGGCTGCAGCTTGCAAAGGAGAATCATGTCCCAGTTCCAGGCAGGTAGGTAATGATTCTGATCAACAGGTTGAATCCTGGGGTCAACAATACCTACTTGCAACTTCCCTTATGTTCCTTGATCATAAGGTGATGTTGACCCCAATTTCAAAAATATTCCAACCAGGCTAATAATAAGAGGTGTCCCTGGGTGAAATGTGGTTGGAATCGGATCACTTTTGGAGGGCCATCACCCCATGAATACACTGGGGTTGAATTAATATGGGGTCAACAGTAACCAAGGTTGGGGGTCCCTGTATTTTCAGACAGACCTATATGAGCTTGTCTAGTGCGAGAATCTCCAAAACAGGTCTGGTGCTTGCGGTGTTTTCCCGATGAATGTGGCGGTGAAGGAGACTCTGAAAGCCTAAATCCTACTGCGTGGATCACAATTGGAAGTCAGAAAAAGTCTGCATTTGGTTTAAGCAGAGTGGTTCCCGTGGTTTCCTGCTATGCGAAATGGAATCTCAGCTAAAGATGAAATGTCCAGTCGGCTGACTTATCAGGTGACCCAGCTGGGAAACGATTGTTTGGACCAATGAGAGTGAATTTCCTCTTAGCTGCGTGCTGTCTAAAAGAGAAATTTGGGGGATCCCTATGTTGGGCATCTCTGAATGCAAATCATCGCGGCAAAGGGGGCTGCGAACTCATGATGGTTCCTTTTTTGAGCTGACAAATGACAGTTCCCCTCCCAGTGCAATCCAGTTATATAGTAGGTAAGCATATCAGTTTCCTGTCCTAGGTCCCCCAGTGGTGCCCCTTTGCCCTTTTTGGAGGGCGGGTTCCCCTACTAAAATTGACTACAGAAAGTGTGCCCTTATTCCATCCTCTCTGCTGGAGGACCTCAAGGGTTGCTTGGTTACCTACAGTGACGAGAAACCGCTGGGCCGGAGCAAAGGTGAAAAGGTCGATCAGGTTGCTTCGGTTGGAGGATCCCAATGGCGACGATGTGTCCGCCAAGCTGTCCTTGATGATGAATCGGGGCTCCACCGTGTGCCGCTGAGAATGCGAGGGGAAGTGGGTGGGAGTTGAGCCAACCTTTTGTTTGCAGATTGAAGTTACTATTGTTTAAGCAATCTCTCTTTTCCTAGGAGCCCCTGGGACCCCTTTCTGTGAGGGGCCTTGAATCTGCTTTGGGGCCTCAAACTGGTATGGGACACCAAGGTTGCTTCGAGTCTGATCCAAGCCCGAAGAGAGAATTGGCCCAAACCGGAACCGGGGGAAGTCATTGTGTCGGCAGAGAATTGGTGGAGAATTGGATATGCCTTTTCATAGGGGATGGTTCCCTTAAAACAATCACTACCAAAAAAAGTGAGTTGTTTTGCCCATGGCCACTGGGGCAAAGCAAAATGTTCAGTAGCTACAGTGCATCTCAGAGTCGGTGGACGTCATTCAATTGCCATGTGAGTAGCGGCACAAGTTAACCTTGCGTTTTGGGGAAGACACGGTGGGCCAAATGGCTCAGCAAAGCCTTTGTTTGTTCATGTGGGGAACAGTCGCTCGTCGCCTTTGCTGAAAGCAAGCTATGAGTGCTAGACATAGCCTCATATTTGCTCAGTCTCCTCACAGCGAAATCCGATGGTTTAACCCCAGGTGAGGGATATTCGACGCCCGCCCTGGTTTCTTTCCCTTAACATGGGTTTGCTTTTGTTGGGCTTTAAAAGGACACCAGCAAGCGGTCATGCGAAGTGTCAAGAGGTTTGCTGGGGACTGAGTCTGGGCTTCGTGTTTTCTCAATAGTTTCACGCTCCCGCTTTCGATTACCTGGGACACCTTGCCCCCCCCCCTGACGCGTTGGGCCGGGGAGACCAGTTTGGTCCAAATATCCTTTGTCCATGGTCCATTCGGAAGGCATTTGAATCGCAAAACCAGATGCTGAGCCGTCCGTTTCCAAAAGCCACAGGAAGGAGCCCTGAATTGTCCCCCGCAAGCCACAGCCGGCGGACGGATCTTCCTAATGTTGCCATCAGGAACCAACTGTGCATGGGGGCCCAGTTTTGACCAAGGCTCACTTTTCCAATGTGGTTGAAATACCCTGACTGTTGCAACCCCCAGGCTTTTGTTATGTCTAGGGGGCCCTCTCTCCATGGGGTAACTTTGCCCATGTGGTTGACGAATATCTTTTGTTTTGGCCCATGGTCATCCCAGGTTCATCGGATTTGATATCAACCCCCAACGTGAGCCACAATCAAAACCCGCATAGATGAAGGTAAGGGACAGTGCCGGCACCCATTGGCCGTCGTGTTCATTCTGTTTTTCATGGTTCTGAGTATCGACGATTGCAACATCGCCCGGTTTTGATTGTGACTCACATGCCGACAATGCACCCCACCCTCACCCCACCCCCCCCACCTCACCCTCACCTCACCCCACCACCTCACCCTCACCTCACCCCACCACCTCACCCTCACCTCACCCCACCACCTCACCCTCACCTCACCCCACCAGCTCACCCTCACCTCACCCCACCACCTCCCTCACCTCACCCCACCACCTCACCCTCACCTCACCCCACCAGCTCACCCTCACCTCACCCCACCACCTCACCCTCACCTCACCCCACCACCTCACCCTCACCTCACCCCACCAGCTCACCCTCACCTCACCCTAAGTTGATAAGGTGCAGGATGCTTTCCAATCATGAACCTTGCTCTAGTCATGTTCTCTATCTTTGCTATATTTTCATCTTACTCTAGGAGCGTTCTCTTCCTTTCCAACCTTACTCTACCCTACCTGGCACCTCACTCCTGCCTTGTCCAAACCCTACCCGAGCCAACTAGAGTAAGGTGTGGGTTGAAATTGAGTCTAGGAGCAAGGTGTGGGGTGCGATTGGGGCCAGGGGTAAGGTGAGGGAGCTTCGAAAGGAAAAGCCTTTAAGAGGAAGAGCCTTTAAAAGGAAGAGCCTCTAAAAGGAAGAGCCTTTAAGAGGAAGAGCCTTTAAGAGGAAGAGCCTCTAAAAGGAAGAGCCTTTAAAAGGAAGAGCCTCTAAAAGAAGCATCAGAAAAAAAGAAGCAAAAATGATGGAGCAACCGGGTTGATCCTGCCAGTAGTTATATGCTTGTCTCTAAGACTAAGCCATACGGCGAAACTACGAATAGCTCGTTGCTACAAGCAGAACTCAGGGAAGAGCCTTTAAAAGGAAGAGCCTCTAAAAGGAAGAGCCTTTAAGAGGAAGAGCCTCTAAAAGGAAGAGCCTTTAAAAGGAAGAGCCTTTAAAAGGAAGAGCCTTTAAAAGGAAGAGCCTTTAAAAGGAAGACTCTTGAACAGGTCCGTTTTGCAACCTTCCCAAAGAAAGGAAAGCCTTGATACTGAAAATGAAGACTACGGAGGAGTAAGGTAGACTCCTTAAGAGGTCCGCTCTCCGCATCTGAAGGTCAAGGTAGAGCAAGGTGCAAAAAGAGATTCTGCAAGGGTCAAGAAAGGGCCGGTAGAGCAAGGTGCAGAAAGAGATTCTGCAAGGGTCAAGAAAGGGCCGGTAGAGCAAGGTGCAGAAAGAGATTCTGCAAGGGTCAAGAAAGGGCAGGTAGAGCGAGGTGCAGAAAGAGATTCTGCAAGGGTCAAGAAAGGGCCGGTAGAGCGAGGTGCAGACAAAAAAAAGCGGCAACAGTCCGGGCGAAACCACAGGTATGAAAAAACGAACGGTTGGCGACAACAGGTTGGCAAGAAGAAGCCAATGAAGCGGCGGTGAAAGAAGAAGATGGGCGCTAATCATGTTATGGGAGAGAAAGGACCCAGGTTTTGCCCCCTGACGGTAGTCCGCCTTCTCGTGGCAGGGGGCGTGAGTAAGCAGGTTTTCTGCTGAAACCGAGGGACTGCCAAGTGACATGTTGCGCGCGTGCAGCTTTTGCAACGCTTTGGCCAAAGCGTAGCAAGACTGCGAGCGCGCGGCCTTGAAATACCGTTCTTTGTACATGTATTGGGAGCGTGATTGACAGCCGTGGGCTGCTTGAACATATTTTCGGGCAGCTGCTATCTCTCAAGCTCCTTGCATTTCTTTGCCCTCCCTCCTCTGTTTCCAAACATGGCTCCCCGCAAGTCGGTGTTCACTCGCGCTCTTGAGATGCGTGTCTTCGACGAAGAATCGGGGTTTGCAGATTTTGAGAACGAGGACCCAGATGTGGCGGACCTTGTTGAAGTAGATGAGGACAAGGCAGAGAGTGAGGAAGCGGCCCAAGAGGCCGAAGAAACGGAGTCTGAAGGCGGTGACCTCCAGCAGGCCTTGGCGGCTTCTTTGACGGAGGCTGAAGAAGTGCGCGAGGCCCTCAGCTTGGTGGACAACGCCCTCCAGTTGTACGGCCTGGCCAGGGTCGAGATTCGGGGAGATGGCAATTGCCTCTTCACAGTCTTGGCCATGGCCCTGACGGAGCAAGGCTTTGAGGATGGCTCCATGGCCATGCTGCGTGAGAAGCTCGTGGGAGAAGTGAAGAGGAACCCTGAGCGGTATGCCAGCTTGCCTGATCTCGATGGCGAGCTTCAGGATGGCAAAAAACGGCTCCTACAGGGACTCGATTTGCCTTCTTGCAGCAATCCGCTGCTTCAACGCCCGCATTCGCGTTTTGGAGTTGCGGGCCGATGGTGCCTTTGGCGAGACAGTCGTTGAGAAGGAAGCTGGCGGAGCAGCAGCCGAAACAATCACTGTGCTCTTCATCCCCCAGAAGAAGCACTATGACTGGATCGCGGAAGTTGGTGGCACGGAGGCTAGGGCATTTTCATGACATGTAGTGTGTTCTTCGCATTGTTGAATGGTCTGCACCTTCCTCCATGTTTTCTCACTCTTTTTCACGTTCCTCTTTTTTTCTGCCAGGACATTGAGGCTCCAAAGAAGAAGAGGAAGCTGTCAAAGCGGAGGAAACTTTTGAAGAAGCCCGCTGCGAAGGAGCAGCCTGAACCCAAGATCCAGAAGAAGCCCGCTGCGAAGGAGCAGCCTGAGCCCAAGATCCAGAAGAAGCCCGCTGCGAAGAAGCAGCCTGAGCCCAAGATCCAGAAGAAGTCCGCACGAGAACGCAAGAAAAATAAGTCAATTTCAATATGGCTATTCTGAAATACAGAAAATAAGACCTCAGTGGCTGATATTGGCCTGCTCCATCTGCAAGGTATGGCTGATAATGGCCGCCTCTGCAGATTTTTTTGCTTCCTGATGGCAGTCCACCTTCTCGTGGTAGGGAGTGTGAGTTCTAGACTAGAACGGGTCCTTTAGGATCCTTCACATGGATCATTGCAAAAGCACACGAAACCTGGCTTTGTCGTCCCGCAGTCTTCTGCGGAGTCAAGCTGTCACCTTCTCATGCCCCATGTGAAGAATTTATCAACAAGACCATGTCCTGGGCAAGTTCGTGAACAGCAGGAATTTATCAACAGGAATTGCCCTCACCCCACCAACCCACCCTCACCCCACCCTCACCCTCCCCACCACCACCCTCACCCTCACCCCACCACCCCACCCTCACCCTCCACCCTCACCCTCACCCCACCACCCCACCCTCACCCTCACCCCACCACCCCACCCTCCACCCCACCCTCACCCTCACACCCCACCCTCACCCTCCACCCTCACCACCACCCCACCCTCACCCTCCACCCCCCACCACCCCTCACCCTCCACCCTCCACCCTCACCCTCACCCCACCACCCCACCCTCACCCGCACCCTCCACCCTCACCCTACCCTCCCCACCCTCACCCTCACCCCACCCCCACCCTCACTCACCCCACCACCCCACCCTCACCCTCCACCCTCACCCTCACCCCACCACCCCACCCTCACCCTCACCACCCCAACAGCTCACAGGAGAGCCTGAGCCACTGCACAGTGAAAGTCGAGCTGGAGAAGGTGGCCGGGGGCCCCGGCGGAAAGCTGTCGCTGAAAGATTTGGCAGCCAGATCCGTGTGTGCCGATCCCAAGCCCCAACTATATGATATATATATATATATGTGCACATACATATACATATACGCACATATATATATATATATATATTATATTACACTAACAGTTTGACCCATTTGGAGTTGGCAAATGTGAGTAAATCCATTGCATACAGTTGGATTGTTTGGGGATTCCTTGTGGATTCTCCAACGGAAGGGGGGGGAGCGCCTTGTTGAAAAAGCCCATTGGCCCTACGCGGAATTTGGCCAGGATTGCTCTGAGCAGTTCCCACCATCCTATTTAACAGACACCCAACTGGTGAAGGTCTTCTGCGGTCTCCCTCTACCAAGGGTCGCATGTCTATGTGCCGATCGGGTCGAAGCAACCGAAATTGAGTCCCTCCAGTTTGATTTAGCAATTATTAGGGGTCCAGTTTGGGTTCGTAAAAAATATATACCTTTTGTTTTGTTTAATAATAATAATAGAAAAACAAGCGCGCAAAGGATGTTTTGCCGAATCCAGGCACTTCATCATAGGAGCCCAAGACATCCAAGCCTCCAAACAAAAAAAACCGAAAGGCCTAAGGAGGTCTGGGGCTTCTGCCCGCATCCATTGCCGGGCTACCGTGTTGCGCAACTTTTTGCGCCCAGGTGCCAGCGCTGGCCGGGCCAGGAGGGAGAGAGGGCGCGACTTGTTGAGGGGATCCATGGTGCCCCTTACGGAGAGTGCTTCAGTGGTTTGATGGGATCCGTTTACCTGTGTAGGAGCCCAAGACCTCATGATTTGAAGCCTTTGGGGGGTTAAAAGCCCTCACATCAACAGTTTGGCGCGGGTCCCAAAAGGCTGTGGGGGTAGGCCCTCACATGACACGAACCCCGGGGAACCTCCTAGGGGTGGATGGCTCCTAGGGGTGGAGAGCTGGGTTGAACCCTTGGTGTAAGCCGAAAAATGCTTTGCCAGAGGATCGCCTGGAAGCGCTGGGTTCAATTCTCGCTCAAAAAGCACACATGGAAGGCCCAAATTTGCACATGTTGGGAGTGTCCATGCGAAACCAAGGGGAGAGTGTGTAAAGTAAACCGGTGGTGTGTTTTGTGGTCTTTTTGAGCGTACCCTTTTGGGGCTGGTTTAAAGGGAAACCAAAACACACGCCCACCATTTTGTGAGCACTTCTATGTTGAGACAACCCCATGCAATGTTGAGACACCCCATGCCGCAATGGACCATGCCCTTTTCAAGTGTGCCTGGAGTTTTTGCATGACCCTTTAAACATGTGGGTCATTACCCAGCAAATTCAGGGGTTATGACCCCATGCTCTAGGACAGAGACTCGAGGTGGCTACTTGGATGTTTGTTGCGCCAAGTTAGTAAGTGGTTAGCCAACCCACTAACAGGGTTAATTGCACTGAACGGGGACTATGAGTGGGTTATCACCAAGGTTGCCAACAACTTGATAAGTTGGCGAATCGAACAGCCAGGTAAGGGATGATAAATGGAATGACCCCCGTACACCATCCAACTGGTGGTTTCCTTATAATTATGATGTCTGTGACTCAAAAACATGGCACCCAACATGGCACCTTGGCAAATGGAACCAAAGACTAAAGCCTGCGTAACTCGAGCTCTTGAAATTTTGAGCCACAGGACTTGTGAGTGGGTAGTAACCAAGGTTGCCAACAGCTTATTAGCAGTTACTAAGTTGGCCGAAATTCAAGTCTTGGGTACTTTTCTTTGGTGCATGTTGCCAAGGGATGTTAGGACTTGAGAACTTTTTGCCAACTCATAGATTTCCCGTATTCAACCACTAAAAGTTAGTCGCTTTTAGGGCTGCAGAGTTCGCAACCGAGAGTTGGTTTACCCTTTTTCCACGGAAGCCAAAGGGAAGCGGTCCATTTCGAGGGGGCGAGACGGGCGGCACGAGACGGTCCCATGTCAGGAGACCCCAGGTGGGAGGGTGCCAGCACCTTGGTCCAGGACGAAAATCTCGATCCGAATCCGCGCGAAGAATCGCTTCAAAACAAGAGGCTCGGCAGGCTGATTCGTTCATCCCGAAAAGGAAAAACAACAACGAAGCAACAGAAATGAAGCAAGCCGCGAAAAAAGAAAAAGAAGAAGGCCAATAATGAAGGACACAGCCAAAAAGATGGCGAACAAGAGAGAAGGAAGACAAAACAAAGGCACAAAAACAAGCCACCAAAGCAACCAGGCGGACCAGCCCCGGAGGCGAAAGGTACCCTTCTCAGGTTGCTTGAAGGGTAAACCAGGAGCATTTCACATTTCTCGGGTCTCAATTTGATACCCAACTTAAGCTGGTAGTCAGGGAATCCAGCGGGGGCTGCTTTCCTTTTTAAGGCTTTGTTGTGTTCTAGGGAAACCAGCCAGTTGTCGGCTTGCCGGTTCTCATAAAATCAAATCTGCGGGTAGAAAAAGGAAACTATAGCAATCTTGGGAGTAAGCCTTCTGTGGATGGACGAAATCCTGCACCACCTAAGAAACCCTGGAATGATGAATCCCCTGTAAATACAATAAACAACGGTTTCCCATGGTTTCCAAGTGGTGCAGGATTTCGTCCCTCCACAGTAGGGCCTAGGGAATAAACCGACTGCGACCTGGCAGGTTTCAGCAGCGAATCGAAGTCATTCCCGTCGTTTCAAGGGAACCAAGTCCACTCTTTGACTTTAATACCTCAACATAGGCCCTGTTCTCAGTAGGGAATCCTTGCAGGGGTTTGGGAATTCACCAGAAAACAACAACTGAAAGCAAACTACAAACTACGGCTCACAGGGTCAGTCGATTCTCCTCAAAGGACTTAGTTTGTCAACCCCTCCGGAGAACTAATTGTATGTTTGTTTGTCCGTTTTAAGGCCTTCCCCGCCTTCCCCCCCAAAAAGGGATTTATTTTTCGATGGCACACTACTCATACATGAATGCTGGTTTCTCAACTGCGCTCCCGAACTGTGTTGTTTGCGTCTGTTTCTTCTTTTTTTTTCCGGTACCCATTTTGGCGCTGATCAGGCAAGCGTTAGGTGGTTTGGCTTGGTGGTTTGGATTTTGATTTGAGCCACTGGCTACAGGTTCTCGCAGGGGTTTCCCACCCCGGAACACCACCAATCCAAACCATCCATTGGAGGAAAGCAGAGTTTCTACAAAGTTTACATGGGACACCAAAGGCATGTGGGTATGGGTCAAAATAAAGCCACCAGGGGACCGCAGGTTTTTGTTCATGTTTCCACTTGGGGGCCCCAATTCGAGGGTTACCTTATTCTGACCCACAGCCATGTCACACTTTTTTGGGGCCCGGAAGCCCCAGTTCGACCCCAGCGCACCAGATTCCGATCCCCTTTCAACACCACAGCCTCCAACTCGGTTTGCGTTACGGGCGAAAAAAGGCGCGCGCCTTTTTTGGAGGATGGCCCCTGTTGGGTTAGTTTAAAGAGACCCCAACATAAGGGAAGTTTTGATTCTACTGGTATGACATTCGTCAAAGCAGCAGAAATGCACCCCAGTTGGAGATGTGTGTAGCCCATCTCCTGAAGAACATAGGTGTCAGTTTTAGGTTAGTTCGGTTAGAAATAGATGCCACTGTTTTAGGTTGGTTTCATTTCCCAAAAGGTCACCTATGCTGAAGCATGTCTAAGCCAGCAAAGTTGGCCCTGATGTAAAAAGGGATGTGGACAAAACCCTGTCATTAGGCAGAGTTCAGAAGGTGGTGCATGTGCTCAGTACCTTCAAGGACTTCTAATTCAATGAGGTCTGCTTTCTTGACTTGATCCTTGGTTGACTGGCCTACTCACGCCATGCGCCGGCTGTTCAATTGGCTCAGAGCCCTCTCAGACGCTCTTGAAGTCCAGTTCTGCTCATCCCATTGGGTCCTACCGCCTAGAGTCTCTCATTCTACAGCCTTTTCCGCCGTGGTGTTTTTTCTTTCGTCACGCCAGTCCGTCAATTCTGCAGTCTTTTGTTCTTCTTTGCTTGTTTCTCGCCCCCGCCAGGCTGTTGGGTGCGCCGTTTTCCTGGGTTTTCTTCGGGATTTCTCGTGCCATGGACCGCGCCAACTGCCGCGTCTGCGTCTTCGGGTCCGGGACCTTCGGCACGGCGCTGGGCACGGTGATCGCGCGGAACGGGTACCCGGTGACGCTGCTGACGCGGCGGGAGGAGGTGGCCACTAGAGGCTTGGCTAGGTGAGGGGAGGAGGGGGGAGGGGGAGGGGGAGGGGGGGGGGAGGGGGAGGGGGTCGTTGGGGGGAGAAATTCATGTGGGGGTTGAGCAAAAGGTCCGTGAGACATGGAATATGGGACCACCACAAAAGAGTCATTTTGGGGCCAGGATTATTGACCCAATATCAATCAACTATCAGGTTAATTTTAAATTCAGGGACACTCCCTAAAAACGCGGGGGTCGATTGACATGGGGTCAACATTGATGTTCTCTCTTCCCATTTCCCGGGTTTAAAAGGGGCAACTGGGATCCACTAGGTTTGTTGGGTGTGTTAGGCATGCTGGGTATGTTGTTGGTATCCTGGGTGTGTTGGCATAGACGTATGTTGGACATGTTTAATGTGTATGTTAGGAGTGTTGGGTATCTGGAATTTCCATGGCCAGACGGAGGTCAATTACCGCGACATGCGTCCTTTGTCGATCTCGGTAACGCCGTCCGCAAATAGAAAAAGGCGAGCTCATCCGTGGTTTTCACGGATTGGGGATCCCAGAGTTCAAGTTGAATGAGTGTCAAAAAAATCCGGATGTTATGTTGACCACATATTAATAATGCTGATTGCTATAGGGGATAGTTTTCCCGAAAAGTGAAGGACACTGTTAATAAGACACGTATCAATCAACCAGTGTTATCCCGCGGGTTATGCTTTGTCGAGGGGGCTCATTCGCTGAGCCGTTTTTTCAGCTAGTTGGGGGTGGGGACTGAATGGCAAGTGTGCACGTTCTGTTGATTCCGTCCCTGTTGTTTCGTGGGTTTCCCATGTCTACCAGGGTCACTGATGGTGGAACTGCTCCAGTGGAGACATTTGGCGGGTTCTCAGAGATACTTTGAAGGGTGGTTTCCCTAATTGTGAGGCTCTCACTTTAGTTTACGGAGTACATATTTGGCCGTTGTTTTCTGCGAAGCACCAGCAAGAACTAGCTCCGGTCATGCTTGTGGAAAAGGGGGAGCATGGTTGTTGTTGGGGAAAACAAAAACATCTTTGCTTGTAGTGGTTTAGTGGTTGAAATCCCCACTTAACTCCTAAAATTCAAATCGTTGCTCCCCTTCCAACGGCAACCAAGAATGCTGTCCAGTAACTTTCAAGCTCAGCACTTGCCTTGGATCACAGCCCTGCAAAGAAACTCTACAGTTACTCGCCAATGGCTCTGGCTGCTCTGCGTCCCAACTGCTTGTTCAACCATGTCCAAAGCCGCTTGGTACTTGGGGAAGCTGGTTGCTATGGGACCCGTTTGGGGGGAAAAGGCAAACGTCAAGACACAACTCCGCTTGGTACTTGGTAGCCTTAAAAGGCAGTGGCTGTTCCAGTGCTTCTTTTCGGCCACTTCCGGCTCCAGGACCCGGAAGTTGCCGGAAGCTGAGGCATCAACATGGGTTGCAACTTATTTTTTAACCATGTCCAACTCCGCTTGGTACTCTGAGGGAAGCTGGTTGCTATGGACCCGTTTTTCTCGTTTTTTCCCGGAAGCTGAGCCGGCGGCCGGAAGCTGAGCTTCCGGCTCCTTCCTGGAAGCTGCCAGCTCCTTTCCGGAAGCTGCTGAAAGCTGAGGCATCAACACGGAGCACAAAAACCCCCAGCACCTCAGCGATTGCAAGCTGCCGCCGCTGCTTTCGGCCACCACCTCTGTGGAGCAGGCGCTGAAAGGCGCGGGGGTGGGGGTGGGGTGGGGTGGCGTGGGGTGGGGTGGGGTGGGGTTGGTGGGTGGAGGACACCGAAACATAAAAACGAACAGGGCGGGGGGGGGGCTATGTTGGGCCAAAGCAGATGGCACATGGTTTCTTCGCTTTCTTTCCCACAGCCAACGGGCGCATTCAGCCCACCAAGCCCCCAAGAGTCAGTGGGCTCTGAATCAGTCTCTGACTCTTCTTGAGGTCATCCCACCAGTCTTTTTTGAGGGCACCCTTCTTTTTTTTTGAAGGAAAACCAACAGGCAGTCCACATGAAATGGTCGGCCCCCCAAAAAATAGACCCAAGATGGTTCCAAGAAGCAGGAGCTTTGGAAGCTGGGGCGGTTTCCGTATCCTTCCGATCAATCACCAACCGAAGAGGGCCACACATTTTCTGAGGGAGGTGCCCTGAGGTGCCAAGTAAAACCCCAGGGCCATTTTAGTAGGTGGATCTAGTTCTCGGCTTATCAACCTTTCTGGAGACCCAAAGCTCTCAGCTGAGGGAAAGCACTTTCAGAGGTCCCATGCCACAACTGCCCCAAAATGCTTGCCTGAGATCAACGTATACCTCAACCAGAGTCGTAAACCTCGTGTGAAATGGTTGCGAGAGAGATACGCACCGCTTCTAGGTCCCCCAGCTAGGTGCCCTTTCTCAGTCCCTTTTTTTTGGGGGAGGGTTCCACTAAAATGGACAATTCAGTAAAACCAATCGTACCCTTATTCTAACCTCTCAAGTCTGGAGGACCAAGGGTTACTTACCCGAGCAGTGACCAATGCTTATTGACTTTTGCATCTCACTACCCGCAAGCTTCGGTGAGCAGCTTTCAGGGAGGCTCGGAACCTGTTCATGGTGGTTGTTGGGAAACATGTAATGCAGTTTTGCTTATTGTGGTTTAGTGGTTGAAATCCAACCACTTAACTGCTAAAACATATGAACCTGTGGCTCCCCTTCCAACGTCAACCAGGTGTTGGGGATGCCACCTGCAGTAGTTGTTGATACAACATGCCATCTTGGGTGCGCTCCAAGGACTGTGCAACCAACGCGATGGATATAAACCGCCCCATTGTCATTAGACTCCGCAAAAACAATTTTGCTGTTGGGACGTTTTGGGTTTCATTCATTCTTTTGGTGCAGGAGCGCGCTTCATCGTGCACAGCGTGCCGGTGCAGGCTACTGAGAGCTTTTTGAAGCTCCGCCGAATCTGTTTACCATGTCTTTTTCCTCCTGTCCACTAACAAGAAAGCCACCAGGGGATTCATTTCAAAGGAACAGAAGGGACGGGGTAGACTGAATATGAAACATAATATGAAAAAACAAACTTGGTATACCCCCACAGGATCCATCCATCGCCCTCCCATTCATTCCGCAAATTATGACCGTAATCAGGTCTCAACTTGTTGGGGCCCTTATGCAGGGGTGCACCATCCTGTTGACATCATCTTTCTTGGCTGCACGGGTCGTTGGCCGTTAACTGTCTCGTATTGACCTTTCCCATCAAGCAGGCTCCTGAACTGAGCAATCAAAACCCGGGTAGAAGGTGAGTAAGGGATAATCCCCTTGCCATCCTTGAGTGCCTTCGCCGCCTGTTTAATTCTTGAAGCATTGTTCTGGGTCGACCATTACACTACTAGGTGTTGGTTGCGATTCAACGGAAGTTCGAGAAGTTACGTGTTTTCCCCACCCGATTTCAAAGTGAACCACTTTTGGCACTGGCAAGACATTGTCAAACTCTCCGTTGAGGTTCGTTGAATCAACCGACCGGTTCAACTCCAAATCCAAACCGCCGGTCGAACGAACGAACCATCTACCAAAGGGTTCAGATCCAAATCCAAAGAACCCGGCAAGCCACGCAAAAGGGTCGGACACATGCCGCCCCCTTCTCCTTGATCCTTTATGGAATTCTGAGGGGGGCTTCAAACATGGCAGTTTAAATCCAAACCAATCCAAACCACCAATCAAGGCTTGCCTCATACATCCCGCCCCCTTCTCATTGATCCTTTCATCATGGAGCCCTGCGGCTTCAGGGACGGCCCTTCAAATCCAATCCAAGCCACCACTCCAAACCAATGAAGGCTGCTCTAAGCAAATCTAAACCAATCCAAACCACCAAAAGGCCAGCGCCTCATACACCTACCTGGCCATGGGTCAAAATCCCGTCCAGTGAACATCCCAATCCCCACTAAAATAGGTTCTAAAATGGGTGAATTCACCTACCCCAAAATGGGATCCCAAAACGGTTTTGACAACCGCAACCACATCTTCATTTCGGAGGGAAGTCACAGAAACCGGGAAATTTCAATCCCACCACCACTCCCAGGTGTCTGCATTTGATACATGCTTCCGGTTTCCACGCCCAGGAAGCCTTTGGCCAAGCTCATCAAAGCGGATGTGCCGTTCATCTCCACTTCAAAGGCCTCCGGCCTTTCGCGAGAGAGCCGCGAGAGAGACCACCGGTGAGCCACGTCCACAAAACCCGGGGAAGTGATCCGGTTAGGGATCCCAGCCACAAAGAGCGAAGCGGAGATCCGCCTTAGTTCCTTTTTAGCATGGTTCTGGGATTACGGCCATTTTTGAAAAAGGGTTTTGAGCAAGTGACTCACCTGGTCCGAGTGGTTGGGCCTTCCGGTTTCTGTGACTAACCCCTTGGCTGAAATCAACATGTTTTTTGGCTAGTTGATTGAAACCCCAGGGTGGCTGGAATAAATGAGCATGGGTTTTAGCCTCTAGCTTTTTTTTTCTCCAAGGGAATCATTTGAATATGGGCTGTTGGCTTCTAATTGGAAGCCCCAAGAGAATCGATCGCCGCTCGAATGTTTGGAAAATGTTACGTTCATCGAGCAAATGGAGGATTGGAGGAGAAAGCAGCAGCTCAGCAGACCTACCCTGGCCCTAGTTCTGAGACATGTACAACTAGGTTTTGTTTGTTTGAGGGTACCCGGGTACCCGTTTTGATCACGTTTTGTTTCGTGGATCTCCAGAAACTATCACTATTGCCCCCGAATGGCCTGATGAGGGGCTTGTCCTCTTGTCCTGGGATTTTGCGGGGACCAGTTTGGGGGAAGCCCCCTCATTTTGGGGTTCCGATTTTGAGATATAACCGTTTGTTTTGGACCTTCCCGCTTTCTGGAAACAGTTGCAGAGGCGGCCAGGTTCCGAACCCATCCCTTGGCAGGGGCCTTCCATGTAAAGCAGCCCACGTCCTTGCTTTCGGGTGGGTGTTCTTTTTGGCTGAGCTCAGCTACCCCTGAATTGGTGGTTTGGATTGGTTCCTTTCGAAACGAAGCAAGCCACGAAGCTCCAAACCGCCAAGGGGTAAGGTGACGAGTTTCCTGCGGCTAGTTTCTTGGGCTTACAGTCGATGGCAGCGGCTTATAGGTCTAGGTCCCCCAGTGCCCTTTTTAACCCCTTTTTGGGTTGGGAGGGTTCCCCTTCTAAAATAGACTACAGAAAAAAAGTTGGTACCCTTATTCTATCCTCTCTACTGGGGGACCTAGAGGTATTTCACATGCAATCCGACTCGACTCTTCTCACTGCATACTTGTACGTGACATGTACCCTTCCACCAACGAACATGGAAGTGCACAGACCCCTGTAGAAAGACTACTTTCCTCTTGGAAAGGGCCTTTTTGCACTTCCATGTTAGTTTGTGGGAGGGTAGCCACCAGCTAGCCAAAGCTGAGTTGGTCGCCTTTGTCATTCACATGTGGGGTGACTCCAGTACCAGCTGTTGATTGTGACTCAGGTGGCACAACAAACGTTTGGGCTCGAACATATGGCATGTCTCAAAGCGGAAACCCATGTTGGGATGGTATAGGGCAAAAGGAAACCTGGGTTCCCTGTCTTCAGACCCATATTGCCACTTTGGTTCACCTCCATCTTGAGTCTTGGTCTAACACAACAATCGCGCCCTGAAACTTCCCAAGTGCTGCCAGGCCGCCATGATGGTATGTAGGCAGAGGAACTCAGAACTCTGGTTTGCTACTATAGGGGCTTACCTGATAGTGAATAGCCAGAGGAAACCATGATATTAAAGCTGGTAAACGACCCGAAGGGTTACCTACCACCCCAACTCCAAACACTGGTTTTTAGGGCATCATGTCAACCCTCTACTAAAAGAGGAGGTATGTAAAAGGGAAAGCCGTAGGTTTTTCAAAAGAAAGTACGTAAAAAAAGAACAAGACAAAAAAGAGCAGGTCTTTGGAGCTTTCGGGGGTCTGGAAGCACGGCACTGGCGCCAGGGAATTCATTCCGAGACCCTGGAGACCATGGCGGAGCTAGTACCCCGGGTCCTGGGTCGCAAGCAGGCGCGGAGGGCAGCTGGTGCGGGTCAGGCCCCAGGTTTTGAGCTAAGGTTGACTTTTTTCCTTTGTTTTTTTTGGGGAGGAAGGGTTCCCCTTGAAACTCAACCAACCAAGAAAGGATACTGGGCATCTGAGTAATCAACCCGGCTGAGTAATATGGGGGTCCCCTCCAAAAATGGTCGGATTCCCCACTGACCTCCTATTAACAAACTGGGGTTGATGAAGATGGGGTCAACATTAATAGGTGTGTCTCAACATGGGGCTATCCCAAAATGTTGGTGGATGTTCCTTGTGGTTCCCTTTAAAACCTCAACCAATTATTACCAGGAAAAAAGCAACACACAGACCCAAATGACTTTCCATAGAAAACTTTGGCTCAGCAAAGCGGATGATGGGCGAGGTTGTGAAAAACCTGCGACCCAGAGGTTCTCCTTAGCCTAGCCGCCCTGTTTGGTCAATCTGGGTGTGTCTTCGAATAAGCAAGCCCCAAAGTTGGCCAGTTGCTTTTTGGTGTCCCCTGTCAGACAACCCCCAGGCGGGTACCCTCACAAAAGGACATCAGATTCCAGATATTCACAAAACCACGACGTGTAGCACGTGCCACGTGGGGTCGCAAAACACCAAGCTCTGTGTTCCATTTGCTTAAGAATATTTGTCAGTTTCCTGTGTTGGTTTTCAGGGAATCTATCTGCTTGTTTCCAGGGGGCTGACGCAAATGGAAGGTGTGTCTTCTTTTGGCGGACCCAACATGGGTGGGTCATCCTGTTGGTTTCCCTTTCAAACCATCCAAAAAGGGGCACCCTCAACAAAAAGACCTTCTCCGACCCTACCTGTCTTTTTTTGGCATAGGTGTCCGATGATCTGGTTGTAATGGCAACCCGAGATTGAAATAGCCTGGTTGATTAATAGGGCCTGTTCCCATTTACCAGGAATCCTTCACTTTTCAGAAGGACACACCAATGAATGCCAACAAATCCAGGGTCGTTCTTGTGAGATGCTCTTTGGGGGAAGGGTCCACTTCCAACCACGAGTTGGGTTTGTGGAAGGTTGGAGAAAAGTCTCCAAGCGATTTCCCTCAGCCTGGATGAATCCGGGGTCAACCTGGCGGGGGCACGTGGCGATGAATCTTCACAGCGGATCGATGGATGGATACGGATCCCCGCCAGGTTGCCTGTTTTTTTTTGAGCTGGTGCCCTGTGGGCAAAAAACATGTGGGCGGTTTTTTTGGAGATCAAAGTCGGGAAATTGGGGTTGTTTAAGTCCACCTTTGGTGCTCCGCCATCACAAGTTTCCGGTCAGGAAGCCTTAGGGATAAATCTGTCCTTCGACAAATGACTCAACCTGAGAATTGAGAAAGTTGACGCAAAAACGTGGCCCCTACCTTCCGGCGTCGATGTTCAACACAGCATGTCTATGTTTTACTAGATAAAACACCGTACTTGGAGGCTAGGGATAAATGGGCTTGGAACCAAACCCCAGTCTCGGCACGTCGTTTCAAGTTTCGGTTCGTATCCCTCTACGGCGATCTGAAGTCGTAAGCCCTATCCACCCTGGAAAAAGCCGTGGGGCTTTGTCTTTTTTTTTGGGGGGGGGATTTGACCCCATCCACCCTGAAAAAATCCATGGGTCGATTTGGGGGGTTATCTGGGGTATTTATGTATGAAGAAGGTATGTTGATAAGCAACAAAGAGTCTGGTCCTAGAACCATAGACACTGTGTCCCTCAAGTCTCCTTTCACTCTAGGGGTTGATTCCCCATTCTTTTCAGCCGTCGTTCTTTTCAAGAACCGATCGCCATTTCCCCAGACTTTTTGGTGTTTTTTTTAGAAAGATTCGGATCCCTGGGTTCAGAATGGAATTGGAAGTTACCCCTAGAAGTTTGGGGGTAGATTAGGTGCGGTGGGTCGTTTTTTGTTTTGTTTTACCCTTGAAAATGGTCAAAAAGGGAAAGTTGAGAGGACACCCGTCTTTGCTCTTTCTCTTTTTCTTTTTTTAAAAACTCAACACCCGTCGTTGCTGAGGGTTTTTCTTCTTTCTTTTTTTGGGCTGGGCGCTTTTGGCGCTTTTGGGGGCTTGCGAGCTTTTGGGCTGTTGGCTCAGGTCATGGCCTACCTCAGTGGCCCCACCTTCGCCAAGGAGAGCTCGCTCCATGCGCCTTTTTTTGTTTCTCCTTGGCTGATTTGTTTTTTGGGTGTGTGTGTGTGTGTTGTTTATATGTTGTTTATATGGTGTTTCTTTCTATTTGCGTGTTTCTTTTTGTTTGTGTTGTTTATATGTTCGCCTGGTTTCAAAGGGAAAAGCTGTCTCACTACTAGACACCCTTTAAGAAGAGTATCGTTGTGCTTTTCATTTTTGGTTTTCCTTTTGGTTTGCCTTTCGGTTGTCCTTTGTTCCTGTTGGTTTGCCTTTTGGTTTTCCAGCAGGTTTTCCTTTCGGTCTTCCTTTTGGTTTTCCTGTCAATCCCATCCAAGACAAGGTACCAGCTCAAAGAAAGACGAGCCATAGACACCCATCTTGTCTGGCGTCAAATCGGCTCGGCTCGGCTGGGGAGAAGCCCGGGGTAGGTCCCAGGCCGGCTCAACGGTTTTGAAAATTTGGCAAGACAAACAGCTTCGTCCAGGTTTCTCTGCTTTTGTTTGCTTTAGGATAGCTGTGATTGCCTGCTAGTGCCAAGGGAATTTAGCGCTCGAATCATGTTCATGTTTTTGTTCCAGGGGGCTTCGGGCGAATGGAGGATTAGTTCCCAGGCTTTAGTCATGGGTCTGGACCAACAGACTGAGTGGCAAACAAGCAGTTCTCGCAAACAATCAGTTCTCAGACTTATGTTTCTTCTTTCTGGCGAATCAATGCTAGAATGGTGAAGTTTTGGGATTGGTGAAGTTGAAGCTTGAAGTTAAAGTGCGAACACACACATACAAAACTGCTGTGATCCCATGCTCTGTCCAAGCGTACAGTAGCCAGCCGTGCTTCGGTGAGTGGTTTGGCTAAGTTCCTGTAGATGTCTCACTTTCGCGAATCGACCTGAAATCTGAAATGACCTCAATTCTTCGGTGTCCCCCATGTCGGCCGCTTTTTTTTGTGGTACCTAAGGTGAGCCATTGATTTCCCAGGCCCCTCCTTGGAGCGGGCGCACGGTGTCTCGTTTCCCGGGCGGGTGTCTCGTGGCTAGGAGCTGATGGACGGCAACCCCTCGGCCGCCGTGATCGCGGCGGAAGAGTCGGAGATCGCGGAGAAGTGTGGCGACTTGTTCCACTGCTCCGCCTTCAAGCGCCTGGGATGGTCTTACGTTTTCCTCTTTGGGTGGTGTGGGTGTTCTTTTGTGTGCTGGGGCCATGAATTTAATTGTTTCTTAATTGTTCTTTTTGGTGGTGCCTAGAGTCTCCGTCTGACCGCTAGAAAAAGGGTCATAAGCCCAGAATTAAAATTATGGGTAATGACCACATTTTTGAAGGGTCAAGGAGACTCCAGGGGGCAAAGGGGGGGCCACCAGTTTAACTGTTTCTTGTGGTTATCAAAGTCAGTAGATGTGGGTGTTTCCGTTCACCACTGAATGGGGGTGACTTTGATCATGGTAAAATACTGGGGCCTGTTTGTGGTGGGTGTAAAGGGTGGCCTTTGTTAGGTGATCCATTTAATGTTGACCCCGGATTAATAAACCCCTGTTTATCAGTATGGGGGGAACCCCCAGTAAAACTAGGGAAGCCCTATTATTAATACACGGGGGTTGATTGATTTGGGGTCAACATTACCTGGCTTTGTGGCTAATGAAGGGCTTGCCACCCTTCAAATGCCTTTGTGGGTAACCGAAGGAAGCACCCGGTCTACAGTCGAAAGCGAAAAAACGTTCGTTCCAACTTGTTCCAAGCTCGCTACTGGAGGACCTAGACTTTGGGCAACTGGGATCCACTGGGTTGCTGAAGGGTTGCGATTGCGCCAATTTTGTGACACACGAGCCGAACTGTGGACGGACGAAATCCGCTTCTCGCACCACGAAATGAAACCATGGTTGAAACCACGACGTTTGTTGGTATTTACAGGGGACTCGAATCAGAACCCACGGTTTCGTAGGTGGTGCGATTTCTGGATTTCGCAACCATCCACAGTATGTGTTGTTTGAGGGTTCAGTTGGGGTCGTTGGCTGAAAGAAGCTACTTGGACTCGAAGGAGCGGTTTTCAAGAGGTGCTCTCGGGCTCTGATCACAGGGTTCCTCTAACGCGTTCCGTTTTAACCTGCAACCCTTTCAGGGTGCGCCCGGTTTTCCCTTTAGAATAATATGGTTTAAGGGGGCTGACCCTCCCACCAAGGGTCACTTTTAAGAGGAACAAGGTCCTCCAGAACCCACCCAAACCTCGGCGGAAAGTCATATATCGAAATGGAAAGCTTGGGGACCAAGAAAAAAAGCCAACGCTCAAACAGTCAAGAAGCTCAATCTAGGCTACACAACACGGTGAGAAGAGACACACCTTGATTTTGCTGGATGGAAACGTCAAAAAAATAGTAAGAACAACATTCATAATACTAATAATATTAATAATAATCATAATAAACGCGTTGTTTCTTTCTTTTTTCCTTTTCACGTTTCAATTTTAAGGGGAACCTCGCGGACCAGGGAAAAACCACGTGTTTGCACCATACGACTCACTTCCTTCCAGTGGGTTTGCACGCAAACCAAAGGGCCCCGGAACTGAAGCAGTTGTGAGATGAGGGGGAAGTGGGCGAGATTGTGTCCAAAAGGGTGCTTCACAATTCTCCCTTTAAAGGCGGATTCTGGTGTTTTGGTCGATTTCCCCCAAAAAAAGAACCACCTCCTTGGGATCTCCAATCTTTATTCCCCTTTTCCTTGTTTTGTGTGTTTAAGCCAAAAAGCCGCCTCCGCGCGACTGACCCAGAACAAATCTGCGTCGATGATTTTTTTGCCGGGGCTCGGCGTAGGATCTACAGCACCAGCGACGTGATCGGCGTGGAGATCGGGGGGGCCTTGAAGAACCTCGGTGGCTCCCAGCCATCCGGTTTCTTCGCCTTTTCGCTTTTTTGGTGTTTAGTGGTAGTTTCCTATGCTGACATGGCTCCAAAACATTTTGCCTGGGTTGGTTTACTTGGTGGCTCCCAGCCCTCTGGTTCCTTAGCTTTATATCCTTGTGTTTGGTGGTGTAACCCGCCAAAGGTTAAACTTCCATCCCCTTAGCCTTTTAGCTTTTTAGTTTGTTCATTGGTAGTTCCCAGGACTCGGGTTAGGAAACCCGGTGCTGGGTTGTGCTCGGGTTTCCATTTCACCCACTAAAAGTCAGTCACTTTGGGGGTAGTTTGGTGTTTGGTAGTTTGGGGGTAGTTTGGGATCACTGTTTGGTGTTTGGTGGTAGTTTCCATTTAGCCCACGAAAAGTTTGTCCGGAACTTTTCCAGATCAGTTCAACGGGAGGAACGTCTACGCGCTGGCGGCGGGCACCATCGAAGGCATGGGCCTAGGCGGGGGGTTTTGGGGGTTTGGGTTCTGGGGATGGCGGGGGCCTAGGCGGTTCTGGCAGGGGAGTTGTTGTTCTTTGGGGGTGGGGGCGGGTGGGGGTGGTGGTGGGGGGGGTCCATGATAAGGGGGGTACCATATTATATTATATTATATATATATATATTACACACTAAGAAAAATCGCACCCAGATCATTATCATTGGTGGTCTCTTATTCGCTTCAGGGCTTGCACCCGCAAATTCCCTGGAAATCAAATCAGTTCCAGGTTTCGCTCAAAAGTCCAAGCGGGCTAGTCCAGGGCCGCAAGAATTGGCTTGCGGGTCTTGACATTGGAAGGTCTCTTTTGGGTGTTTCAAGGGCAAAAGGAAACCAACCACGGGGGGCTCCATGTTGTACGCTGACCTTTATCTAGGTCCCCCAGTAGTGCCCTTTCTCACCCCTTTTTCGGGGGAGTCCCCCTACTAAAATAGACTACAGAAAAAAACAAACATCGGGTACCAACTTATTCTAACCTCTCAAGTCTGGAGGACCTAGTTCAGTCACCTAAAGGACATGGAGTAACTGGGAGCAGTCGGACCGTCGGCTCTGGAACGGAGCGGTGCAGTGATTTTACTAAAATAAACAAAACCAAAAAAATTGGGCAGCCTTATCCTAACCTCTCTACTGGCCCTTCTGACTTTTAATGCCTAGGGTTCCTGAAGGAGTCTTAGGGAATCCCCCCTTCCCTGGTAAAGTCGCAGGACTCTGTCAGTCTCGAACCTTGCGAGGTGCGAATACCGCGGCCTTCATGGTGACGCGCTCCTGCGTGGAGATGAACATGTGGCTCGAAGGATGCCCAAGTTTTTCAACCTTGGAGTCTCCTACCTCGCGGTTTTGTTGGCATGTGTTTTTGGTTTTTGGGATCTTTTTTTTGTTTTTTGTTTTAAAGGTCCTGTTCAGTTTTGTGGAGCTGCAAAAAACAGAAGAGGATCCTTCAACATGAGGTCACCCAAAATTAAGGGGTCGTGACCCCGTTTTCGACAGAGAGTGCAGGGGGTTCGCCAATCCTTCCAATTACCATAGAGGAGCTTGGGGAAAGCATCACCCAGCACTTCCAGCTACCATTATAGGTACTTATCCAGGAGACATCATGTAGAATCCGAACTAATAGGTGAGTTTCACTGAACTTCCCTATTTATTCATGTATTGATTTATTTGCGGTTTCTACTATCAAACCCGGGTTAGTTGTTTTCCACCCCAAGGATACATATTATATGTATGATGTATACATATAGATATATTATATACATGCGTTGCGTGTGGAAGGGCGGGGGGGGGGTCATTGCTTCCAATGATTGCTACTGGAGCGAACTCGAGGATCCGAGAGGTAAGCCCTTTTGGCATGTTCGTCGGGCCGAAAGTACCGTCAGGGCCGCACTTTCGGGAGGAACCTTTCCGGCACCTTTTTCGCTTGGTGGGTGGGGGATGTTGCAATCAATGTCGCTGACCACTTTGGGCAATCCAACCCTTTGTTGGGCTCACCTTCCTTTTGAAATCCCTTTGCTTTTCTAATTAATCCGAGCAAGTTACAGCTTAACCTTACAACAGGGTGTCCTCAAACAGGATGAGCGTTCTTTCCGTTTGGGCTCCATTTTGGTTGGCCACTGGAATTTACCATATAACTTGCTTCGGTGCCAACACAAGTTTTCTTGAACTCCAGTCTTTGCGGAAGTATTTAATGTCTCTGGACGGACGTTACCTCAGCGTGTTTTGTTTGGGGGGTGTCTCTTGCCAGACTGAACTACGCTCTTAACAAGTGAAAGCTTTTTGCAGGATGTGGCGTTGCATTGGCCGGCCCGAAAAAGCTGGGTCATATGGATGTGGCCATGATACAGCCAAATCAAGGACCGTATTCTCAACCCCAACAGGGGCCTCACCATGGCACAAGGTCAGTATCTTCCTTTACCTTGGTGTCTCCGCGCTATGGGGTTAACCGTTTAACCCATCAGGTCATGGCCTCGGCTTTGGGATCTCTATGAGGGTCAATCAGGTCATGGCCGATGGAGACTGGAGGCAATTTCTCGTCTTTCGTCTTTTTGCTCCACTGTTTCTTCGTCGCAAAGGCTTGTTGTTTTCCCCCCAGGATCCATGTCTACCCCCCCCCCAAAAAAAAGAAAGAAGAAGAAGAAACGGAACATGGTGGGTTAGTCCTTTTGTCCCTTTAAGCCAACCCCAACACAGAAAACACACAACACCGAGGTCACTTTGGGGCTGGGTTTGCCCCGTTTTTTTCCAAACAATAGGGGAAACCAGAAGAACAGCCGAAAAAAAACAACGCAATTTTGGGGATCCGAAACCCCGAAAACCGCTTTTTTTTGGGGTGGGGTCCGAATCCCCGAAAACCGTCATTTTGGCCGAATCCCCAGAAGGAAGAACGGCAACGCCCAGTGGCCGACCCCTCCGACCCCACCAAAAAAAAACCCACGAGGCATCTCGAAACGGAAGGGTTTCCGCGGAGCGAAGGCTGGCGCTGTCCATGGGAGCGAGGCCCCACACCATGGCGGGCCTGGCGGGGATCGGAGACCTGATGCTCACGTGCCTGGGGGGCGCTTCGAGGAACAAGGCGCTGGGGGGCTTGGGGAAGGGGGGGGGGGCGTCGGGGGTGTTGGGGGGGGGCGGGGGGGTTTGGGTTGGGGGGTGGGACGTTGGGTTTTTTGGGGGCTTGGGGCGAAGCCGATAGGTTTCCCAAGGAAACACGTCCCTCAATGTTCGAGAACCACTGTTTTTGCGGCTACCCTTTTGGAAGAGTTGGAAGGGAAGAAGCCAAGAAGACACCTCTCACTTGGGGGGCAAGCCAGGCCAGTGGCGGTTTTTTTCTTTTTCTTGGGGGTTCGGGTCCCCTCGTTTTCCCCGTGGTTGGTTAAAACATATGTTGAGCCGATTTGCCAATATGCCCCTTTTTGGGGAGGGTGAAAACATGTGTTGAGCCAAGGTACTATTTGAGTTTCCTCAAGCCCTGGTTGCTCCAAACTGGTTTGCCCTGGATTTCAATCCCCATAAAAAGAATTCCTATAGGGTTTCAATCCACCATTGTTTGAATGGGGGGGGGGTAGTATTGCCCCTCCAGAATTGTCATCATCTAAATTCGGCCTCCTTGGACCATAATTTTTATGGGAATCGCTTGAACCCTGAGGAATAACCCGAAAACTGCAACGGGCCGTTGATTGGAGTGGGTTGGAGCCCCCGAATTTCGGGGTGCCAGCAGCGCCCATGTCCGCCAAGACAGAATTTTCTGCGCGAAGCGTCTGGGGCTGTCAAGTTTCCCAGGTCCGTCCATCTCTGAGATCAGAACAACATGAAAACCCTTACTTCAAGCACGCGTTCTCCCCAGTTGTAATCCCCATGTGATCAACAGCCAACTATTGCTGTCATTTGCTGTAATAAAGGGGATGACGTGCGAAACACTCGCCAAACTACGACAAGAACATGTTTTTGTCACCAAACTTTATTGTCAATGGGGGAAGCAAGAAAACATGGCACACGAGGTTCGGTCAAACTATCAGTCTATGGTCGGTCCATGTGGGAGGGTGTGACTTGACTCTAAGACACCCCAAATTGCACGTTCCCCAACTTGGCCGCCGTTGATTGGTTGTAAACAGGGTGACAAACCCAAGCCGATTTAGGAGGTGTCTATCCCATTTACCCCCTGGGCCCTCAAAAAGGCCCGCAAAATGAGGTCCAACACCTAAGAATGGAGGTGCTCGGCCTCATTCGGGAACAAAAAGCAAAGGTGGCAACGGTGTCCTTGTATCGAATCTCAAACAAGCCCAGGTGGTATCCGCAAAGCCCTGGAGCCAACTGGAACTCTTTCGAACCCTCCATACCCTCCCTGAAAGCCCCAAACCAGCTTCTCTTGGCCTATCGACCCCATAGTGTTCAGCTGTTGGGGGCATGCATCCCAATACATACTGTCCCTTTCAAACACATCCCCTAAACTGGGGGGGGGCTTCAAAAACAGGGGTAAATGGGATAACCTCCTAAGTGGGCTTGGGTTTGTCACCCTGTTCAGGTGTTGGGCCTCATTTTGCGGGCCTTTTTTGAGGGCCCAGGGGTTCATAACACGTAGCCTCTGAGTTTGAACCGGCGAACCTCTGGGTTTGGATCCGGAATTCGCTGGCAGACAGATTGCGGCCAGCGAATGTCCACGGCCAAAATATGGCTGGGCTGCCTTAGGGGGCCCCACAAAATGGATTTGCTTTTCCTTTTTGGGTGTCCCTTTAAAATCACCCCCCCAAAAATGGATTTGTTTTTCCTTTTTGGGTGTCCCTTTAAAACCAACCCCCCAAGAAATGGATTTGTTTTTCCTTTTTGGGTGTCCCTTTAAAACCAACCCCCCAAGAAATGGATTTGTTTTTCCTTTTTGGGTGTCCCTTTAAAACCAACCCCCCAAGAAATGGATTTGTTTTCTTCTTTTTTTTTGTGTTTCCCTTAAAACCCAATACCGCGCCTCAAGCAAAAGCCGAGCCGCCCATTTTAAAAACTCTAGGGGATGATTTCCAAAAACCGATCGCTGTGTCCCTGGGTTTTTGATGGTTTCCTGAGAATCTTTTCGGATCCCTGGGTTCAGAATGGAATTGGAAGGGGCCCCTAAAATACGAGATGGTTGCGATATCCGTTCGCACCACTTTGAAACCATGCTTGAAACCATTGGTTGTTGGTACTTACAGGGAATCATCAGAAACCAGGGTTTCTTAAATGGCGCCCTTCGAAAAACGGGGAAAACAAGGAGAAGAAAAAAAACGCTCCCGGTCTCGCGCTTCCGATGCTCAGGCCGTGGGCGCGCGCATCGGCAAAGGCGAGTCCTTAAGCCAGGCGCTCACCGCCCAAAACCCAAAAAACCCGCCAAGCCGCGGCGGAGACTTGCAGATTTTCATTTTGCTGAAATGAATATATATTTGTTTTTCCCCTGTTGGTTTAAAGGGAATCGATTTCACTACTGCACATATTTTCTTTTTTTTCTCCAGGGGGATTAAGCAAATGGAAGGCAGATGGTTGGAGGAAAATCCGCCGAAATCCGCTGGCAAGCAAGAGAAGCTCAAGGGTTTCTGATGCGATTCCCAGGTAACTTCCAAAGAAACCCTGATGGTTGAAGACCATGCTTTGAAGCAGTGCAGGATTTGGTCAATCCACAGTATGGGTGTGTCTGTCTGTTTTTTACAGGGGACCCCTGTTGCAACAACCCGGTTGTTTTCGTTTCGGGGGGCACTGTCTCAGAAGGATAAGAATCGGTCTTTTTTTTGGTTTTAATAGGAACACCAGAAGGAAAGCCACCATTTTGGGGGTCTCCGAAAAATACCATATTGAGGGCCGGAAACCACTAAACGGATGATATGTCCCGCAAAGTGAGGCATGGTCAAAACCGGGGGCCGAACGGAACATTGATCTGCCGAATTTATGGCGAGCTCACCTGGGGCAAAACGAGCTCACCATGATAGAGATCCTTTACTTAGGGATTCCTTATTTCATAATAGACCACGGTTAAATCAACACGTGACCTTATTTCAGGTTTTGGAAACATTGCAAAAAATGTGCAAATTGATCAACCCCCATTCATATGGTCGAACCATGTTTTTCTAGGGGTACCTTCCAATTCATTTCTTTGCAGGCATCCTTCTTTCTACAAAACCGCCCAAAACCCTGAGGAAACAGCAATCGGTTTTTGAAAAGAATGGGGAATCAACCCCTAGAGGTCAACAATAGGTACCCAAAATCAAACCCTGGTACATGGAACCAAGAACCAAAACCTGCGGTCCCCTGATGGTTTCATTTTGACCCATACACCTAGAACAATCAAATGCTTGAAGGGTAGGGGGCAGCTGCCATGGGTGCGGGAATCTGCCCATTTGATTCTTTACATGGAGTTGGGTAGACTGTTTTGGCTTACCTCTTAAAAACACAACTTTTCAACTTGTTGGGTAACATGGGCTATATGTCTGTAAAAGATGAGAACTTCCCCAGGGCTTGGAGTTTTAAGGGGTAAGTCCCATGTCTTGGGTCTGGGCGATTTTTTTCTGCAGATCCTGGAGAGCCGGCAGCAGAGCTTGGCCGGCGTGGCCGAGGGCGTGGCGACCACCCCGGCAGCCCTACGCCTGGCGCAGAAGCAGAAGGTCAAGGCGCCCATCATCGAGGCGCCGGATTTTTGGGCGGCGGTTGGTCAGGGGTCCCTCTTGTTGCAACAGCAGTTAGCGATGTTGCTGGAAGCCTCCAAAATGGCAGCTCCAATTGCAACTTCCCATTTTAAGGGGAAAGAGGCGATTTTGGCGGCTGTTGGTCTCCTTGTTGGTTGGGGTGAAAAATAGATGGTTCTGGTTTGCTACCAGGGATATCTATTTTCCCAAAAGGACAGAGATGGTCAAAGGTCCCTCTTGTTGTTGGGCGATTTTGTTGGAACCCTCCAAAACGGCAGTTCCAATTGCAGCTTCCCTTGTCAAGGGAAGATGTCAGGGTTCCTCTTGTTGCAAAAAGCTGTTGGCAACTTGGTTGGAACCCAGCGGTGAGGTTGGTTCCTCCAATTCCCTTGTTTGGAACCTCCAAAAGTGTTGGAATTCAATCGGTTGGAACCCAGCAGTGTTCTTTGCAGCTCGAGGGAAAGCCAGTCGGCCCTTTTTCGTTGCCAGGTTAGTAAGTAGTGGGCTACTCGGGTTACCCACTAAGAAAAGAGTATATAGCTTCACTTACGAGGACCTATGAGTAGCTTATCTAGGTCCCAGTAGTGCCCTTTTACCTTTTTTTTGGGGAGGGTTCCCCTGGAATAGACTGGGTTCCTCTAAAATAGACTACAGAAAAAAAGAGGTACCCTTAGCCTTATTCCAACCTCTCTACTGGAGGACCTAGTTATAACCCAAGTTACCAATAACTTGCCAGCTAGGCCGAACACACACAATACACAGCATAGGAGTCGTCAGAAAGGTCCCTGTGTTGACTTATGGCGGTTGATCCATATTCCTGGCCCTCAGATAACCATGGGATGTGTTGTTTCCCTATTTAGTGGGAGATATCTCACGTTTTGTTCCGTGGTTCCCCCAATGGTCATCCTGTGTAAAGGATCCTTTTTTGGTCAAAGTGTTCATATGAAGGGGCAGGCGTCCAACCATGTCCTGCCTCACGGAAAGCTTCGGACCCTTCGAGCCCCGAGCCGATCCGATCGCCCCAGTGCTGTAGGCGGTGGCCTCGGTGCTGAGCGGCGAGGCCTCAGCGCAGCAGGCGGTGCTCAGCTTGATGCAGCGGCCCAGGGGCGAAGACTTTGCCGCCTACGTGATGAAGGACATGGCGCGAGCGTCGCTCGGGGGGTGTCGCGGGTGTGGGGGGTGTGGGGAAGGTTGTGGGAGGTGTGGGGGGTGTGGGGGGGGGTGGGGCGGGGGTGGGGAATGGGAGGGTGACTTGTGACTGAGGGTGATTTGGGGATCTCCATGGAATGATTTCTTTCTTGTCCCACTTGACATCTCCTGTTTTCGCGCTAGAAATGGAACTACCGAGCCCTGAAAAACTGAGAGGTCGACATGATACCAACTCGGAAAAGTTGGCGTAGGTGGAATTGGGGGGTGGTGACTCCTGACCCTTGGCGACACCCCCCTCCCCCTTAAGGTAGGAGGGTTTGAAGGACGCTTTGCAACGGGATGTTTAAAAATCAAGGGTCGCCCGAAAGGAAAGGGGGGACGACTGGGCCACTTGATCGCTTTTGCGACTGGCTTGGATTTTGGGCGTTATCTTTTTTTGTTATTATTAGTATATTTAGGATCGCCCCTAGGGCTTAGTACATTTGGGTTCGCCACTTAGTATCGGTGATACGAAAAAAATCAAGCTAGATGATGTGTATATGTTGTTGATGTGTATGTGTGTATAAGGTTCGGATAAAGGCATAAACCAGTGGACCGGTGCGGACAACTGGGTGCTTGATTGATCTTTAGAATTTAACTGTTTGAGGAAATCAAGGGTTTTCCGTTGAACCCAGAGAAAGTTAAGCTTTTGCAGAGGGGTCCACGGCAACCAAGGGTGTGCGTTTTTGCCCGACCGAAAAGGTATTGTCCCAAGCCACAGGTTTGGGGCAGTGGGCTACTTGGTTTTTGGGTACTTGCACTCACACCCTGTGTTCCGTTGCGGACTTTGTCACTTTGTTTGCAACTTGGGGCCATTGTAGTGGTAAATCAAAAGAGTTTGGGTACTTTTTTGGCCAATGCATTGAGGAAGTGAGTCTAGATGTCCCTAGAAAGAGCTTCGTGCTAGTTCTATGGACATGTGTTTTTTCTACGTTGTCTGATTTAACTTGCTTCTTTTGACTCTGTTTGCTCGTTTCAGCGGCTGAGTCTGGTCCAGTCACGAGGACAACCCAAAGGTTTGTGGTTGCGTTTTTGTAAGCCCGTCCGAAGCTGAACAGCCAGTATTCACTTCAGGCTTCACCCCCGCAACCTCCGACTCTGGTTTTTGTTGGGGCCCTAAGGCTCATGACCTTCAGTCCGATCCCGAATCCCCGCACATGAAGAACCTGGGCCAAATATTCCTCCGGAAAACCAACTCATTTGGGCCATTTGGGCCCAAAGACCAGGCTTAGTTTCCAAGCTGGTCCTTTTTTCTTCGCCATTAAGGGAATCCTATGTCCTATTTAGTTCCTTTTCCCCCGCTTACTTATGTGCTTGACTATGCGTTTTTCGTGGGCAGACCAGGAGGCCGAGAGGCGGGCGGCGACTTGGGATCCGGTCCGATGTCACGTCACTTCACCCTGCGGGGGGTTCTGTCGAGCGGTTTTCCCGGTCGATGCCAAGACGAGTGAGGCCGATGAAACAGGAACCAGTGGCTGAATTGAAGATGTTGGTTTACCAGCACCCAAGGGTGGTCCATGTGCAGATTGCAGTGCTCTTGTGTGGGCCATTTTTGAGTACAAATGGAAAAGCCACCCTTGGAGGGTGCTGGTATGTTGGTGTAGTTTCCCGGTTTTGTTTTTTTTTTGGGGGGGGGAATCTATCACTGGCCATACTTTTGTTTTTTTTTGTTTTTAAGGGGGCTTAAGCAACTGGAAGTGATGCAGACGCAGAAAACTTGTTTCGTTTGTACCCCAGCGGTGGGCCAATTTCGGGCCCTTTGAAATCAGGGGATCGATCAAGGGATCAAGGCGGCTACTTGAAGGGGCGATCGGGTACGTCAGGTAAGTGGTTAAGCCAGGATAAAACCCACGGAGACTTATAACCATGTGGGTTATAACCTGACTTACTAACCACTTACTAAGTACCCGATCGCCCCTTTAAGTAGGTACCAAGAAAGGGTTTGTTTCACCTAAGCGTTGTTGGACCCTCAATGAAACGGGCCGAGCCAGACCTTTCAGTGGACCCGAAGATGCTAAGGGCAAGGTGTTTTATGGAGGCGGTGTCTCGTGACAAGTTGAACAGAGGCACCTTTGGTTTCCATGAATTTTCCGCTTGCTGAATTGCCAGGAGGCTTTGGAGCCTAAAGTGAGTTGCCAAGGCAAACATCGGAGAGAGTGGTTTCTCATTGCCTTCTCCATATATTTGTTATTTTGAAGTGGCTTCGATCACCTTTCAAACCACGTTTCATTGTGACGGGTTGATGTTCAAAGCGGAACAAATAATGGGTCCATTGCAGTGACATCCTGAAAAAAAAGTAATCTAAAGGGCTTAAACCTCGCAGTAGTTATACAGATAACTTTTAACAAGATCAGGGCCGATTTTCTGAGAAATCGGGTGGACACGCGGCCCAAGCGGCAAGGTCTTACTCATAAAGATTTTTTCTCAGCATCCCCGTTCGTCCCGGATCCCATGCGCTTGCCACTATACTTGGTGGTTCCCAGCCATCCGGTTCCTTAGGTTTTTAGGGTTTTAGGGTTTTTTTTTGGCCGTCCCCTGAGGTTTTGTTGCTATCCCCGTAGGTAGTTTCCATTTAACCCACAAGCTAAACTGTTAGCAGGATATTTTGAGGACAGCCCAGTATTTACCATCCTTTGATCCTGGATTTTAGGTGCCGCAAAGAAACCGTGTTAGTGTTCAATTCAAAAGGCTGGCAGCAGAGTATCAGTTTGCACCAAACAGGTGACCTGATCTCAGCGGTTTGAGTTTTTGTTTCCGCGTGTTTTGGAGGAGGGTTTGTGATTCCGCGAACATTCGTCGCACAGGCGGAGTTAAGGCACAACCCACTGAGGAAAAAGCGACATGCGGGACTTTGATTTGAGTTCTGGGTTGTTGGGTGGCACCCTTTGTCTTACTCCCTGGTTTCTTGGACCATTGTTGAGCAAAAGGTTCAGTCTTTTGTCGGCCAATCCACACGATCGGAAGCGAGCTCCCTTTCTTTCGCGCAAAAAACGGAGACGTCAGCTGTCAATGTTTGCTCTACCCCCTATTGCAAATACGGGTTTTTGACTTGGTACCAACGGCGTTCCATGTGAAGTACCGAGTCCTTTTGTGTACAGGGTTAACATGATACCAACTCAAAAAAGCGGGTACCTCTCGGGTCACTTCAACCGGGTATGCTCTGAGACCACAAAGCCACGGTTCGGGCAACTGCCTACCTGAACCATGTACACATGAAAGTGCCTTTTGCTTAGGGTACACTTCTTTTTCTTTGGTGGTTTTCAAGGAAAGCCACACGGTTACCGCCGGTCATTTGGGGGGTCCCCTAAACATCATTGATCATGATCCCCAGGTTTTTAAGGGGATCTATCACTGGACAATATGTTCTTGTTTTTTTTGGGGGGACTTGTATATATGCAAATGGAGGTGAAACCATGTACACATCCTACCCCAAAGGACCTTTTCCAATGAAAAGACCAATGATGTCAGGTTGGGACCAAACTACGGGATACGGTGCAAGCTTTGGGATGGTCTTGGGTTTCGGCTTGCAACATGTGACTTGCTTTTCGTTGTTCCCGTTAGGGCAAAATGGAACCTCAACCACAAGACAACCCCCCAAATGGACCCATGTGCCCCCTACACCAATGAGCCACTTGTTTGGGTATGATGTCAGCCCCTGATTTTTCAAGGTGCTCAAAAATGACAAGCCAGGTTTCAGAGAAGCCCCTGCCTCCATTCCTTGTGCAGGCAACTGCGACTCCATTCGGACATGCCCTTGGGCGTGCCGGCCAAAGTTTGGGCGGCCCTGGCAATTGGCCAGGCGGCTGCGTTGCTGGCTTTAGGTGCGGCCTGGTGGCGCTACGCAAAGCGCGGGTAGACGCGGGGCAAACTAAATTCACTTCCCATAATTTGGTTCTGGCTGAACAGAGCATATTTGTTGACTTACCTGAACTATGTCCCCCCAGTAGTGCCCCATTCTCACCCCTTTTTTGCGGGAGGGTTCCCCTACTAAAATCGACTACAGAGAAAGGGTACCCCCATTCTAACCTCTCTACTGGAGGACCTAGCCAAAGATGCGCCAATGGCCCAGTTGACTTTGTGTATCGGCCGGCCTTTTGTTCCATCAGTGCCTGAGCGATCCGCAGACGAGGACCTTGGGCGAGTACATGTGGGTGTGCAGTTTGCAGGAACCAGAAGCTTGTGTGTTTCTCTGAAGAAGCCAGGCGCCTCTCACCACACCCAGGTTTCAGCGGTTTCAACTTCTGTCCAGATTGATTTCAATGCGCTTCGCGAGAGTTTCAGCGACGTGAAAAGTGCAGAGCGACCATGAGTAGTCATCTACAAAGATGGAACCTCGCCTCGGGGTCCTGGTTTGGAGAGTTTTCCAACCAAAAAGAGACCCCTGATCGGTGAGTTCCGTGTTATTGGACCAGTAAATTGTTGGTACCTAAGTTATAACACACTCATAAGTCACCCGTTCAGTGGAATCAGCCCTGCTATTAGGTCACAGGCTGTTAAAATTCCTGGAGGCGAAAGCTGTGTCACAGGTGTTTTCCCCTGGCTTTTTTTGCAATTTGTCATCTCTGGCGCATGCTTGGCAGTGAACCGGAGAATTCTGACAGCATGGGTTTTATTAATATTAAAAAAAAAACACATGTTTTTTGCATAGTTGCAGCTCAATTGCTCGAACATTTGAAGCAACAACCTGCAGGTAACGCACGGCAGAGATCCCTCGAAGTGGATACGGAGAAAAAGAAGAAGCGATGCATGTAGCGAAACACACGAGAGTGCTGCTGACTTGCTATCTTGTGTTGCAATGATACCATGTATTTGTTGCATTTTGCCAAGGGATGATAGGACTTCATAACTTTTTGCCAACTAGTGGGTTTTCCGAATTAAACCACTAAAAAATAAACTTTTAGCAGGGGAGCAGAAAGCAACCGAGATTTATCTATACACTGAGTTCCCACTATGAAGCAAGCGGGTCGTTCGGGTCGTTTGCGTGCTTCCCTCGTCACAGAGACTCTTCTAGCAAATTTATGTTTGCTGGGATGGACATAGTGGCTCTCCAGATGCTGTTTGCCAGCATTTGCAACCAACATTGGCCATGCATCAACCTGTGTGCACTCATGTGTTCGTGTGCGTGCAAGCCTTTCATAACGACGGTAACATGCCCCCCCCCCCCCCCCCCCCCCCACCCCCCTTCCCCACCCCCTCCCCCACCCCGTCCCCCCCCAGCCCTGCTCACAACTGCAACTCAACGCATCACAGCCTAGCAGCAAAGAGCAAGAAAAGCACTAAATGTACCAGGTTTTTTACCAGCCTGTTACCTGTTATTTGGGTCAGTGGGTTGGCCAACCGCTTAACTTGGCCGAGCAAGTAGGACCAACATGCAACCAGTGGGTTTCCATTTGAGCTCAAGGCGCAGCTACCGCTGAAAGCCGCATGGCAAGTTTCTGAGTTGCTGGAAGAAATTGGCGACGTGCCCAGGATTCGGCAAGTCCGTGTTCTTTCTGCTGTTTGGGGGCAACCCCAAGGAGAAACACAAGACAAACTACCACTTTGGGATATTTGGAGTTCTCATTCTTCAAGACACACCCGTTCATACGGGGGGTTGTCTACCAGAACACCCTTTTCCAGCACCCCAACAAGCCTGCTTTTTCCCATGTCCAAAGTCCCCTTGGTACGGTCACCAAAACGCAGTGGTTGGGACCCGGGTGCTGGTAGGATTCTTCATGATGTTCTTTGCTCACGTCAGTCAATGCCTCCGATCTTTTGAACGCTGACTCACCACCAACTCCGGGGCAGGTGCTAACCCTAGGAGGTGCTTGGAGCCTAAACATGAGGGCCTTTACCGCCCAAGGCCCTAAGCTTTCCAGCTAATGGGAGCAGAAAGCAACTGAGAGCTCCCGAGTTAATTTGGGTTTCTTTCTTCTTGATCGGGCTCCCACTGCTCTAGGGGTTGATTCCATTTCCATGTTTTTCAACCATCGTTCTTTTCTCAACCATCGTTCTTTTCTCAAAAACCGGATCTGTTTCCCCTGGGTTGTTGATGGTTTCCTGAAAAGATTCGGATCCCTGGAAAGAATGGAATTGGAAGGTACCCCTAGAATAAAGTTCATTTGCCACCAATCCGGATCATTTTCTTGGTCAAATAAAAACAAGATTTCTAGGGAGTCATTGCGGGTTTCACAAAGAATGGTTGGAAGTTTCCCCAAGAACTGCGCAGACCCAACGAGGCCCAAGGGCTGGGCCAAGCCGCCGTGCACCCGCGAAGTGAAAATTCGAGGAGAGGTTCCGCGGTGAGCAGCTGCTGGAGCAAGGACGCGGCAAGGGTTTGGATCCCTGGGGCGGTTGGGGGTCTCGGCCTTTACGTACAGCTCGTTCATATGGGTGTGGCTCAAAATTAAACAGGCGGGGTTACGCAGGTGTTGGTCCATGTTTCCACTTACCAGGGTTCCATTTTGGCACCGGTTTTTTGAGCCACATCCATATCATTTTGTCTGCGCAAGCCAGGCCAAGGTTTGTGCACCGAACCAGGGCCTCCAGCCCCAAGAATCCGACTGACTGTCTGGATAGGCACAAGCCTCATCATGTTCTTGGCAACCATACTGTGGATGGCTGCGAAATCCATTTCGCACCACTTTGAAATTATTGCAAGCCATGACGTTCATGTGTATTTACAGGGGAATCATCATTCTAGGGTTTCTTAGGTGGTGCGAAATGGATTTCGTCCATCCACAGTATCAGCTACAGTCGGCTTGCATGGGCAGTGGTGACCTGTCTTGTTTTTTTGGCCACACGGCCAGGACTATTGGTTGAATGAGATAGGCCCAAAAGGGGTGGCGCGTCTTTGTTTGGAGGGTAGCTCATGTTTTGTGGCTTTAAAGGGAAGCCAAAAGGAAAGCCACTGTTTTTGGGGTCCCCGACTTTAAGACACACTCATAAAAAAAAGACAACCATCTCAGCAGAACCCCAAGTCAATGGCTTCGGGGTTCTGCTTGTTTGGGTACGTGTCAACATAGGAGGCCACAACAAGTTTTGGTTTTCCTCTGGTGTCCCTTCAAAAGAGTAGCCTGAAAACACACTCCAATTTCGGACTATTCCATTTACAACATGTGCTGAGCTGTTGCCTGAAGGTAGATGCAATACGCGGGGTGGCGATTTTGATTCCCAACAAACAGAACCTCTGGGTAAAGTACCACACCCACTGGGAACTTACTCCAGTTGGGGTTATTGCCAGATAAAGCCTTACATTTTACGATTTTATGACCAATGGTGTCATGTTCATTTTCCAAGGGTGCGCTCATCTCGGGGTGTAACACAGACACCCATTCTTGACCTGTGCGTGGTTAACTGTTTCTAGTTTGTCAAAGGGATTGGCTTGTTGCATTGGCTGCTCTGTTTGCTGCCTGGACTATTGGTGACTGAGCGTGTCCCTGTGACCTTGTGCACTAATTGTTCAGCATCCGGTTCCACTTCTTGTTTGGTTCACTACTGACTAAGACTAGTCAACCCATTCAGGGTTCCCTTAAAAAAGGTGCCCACTTTTGCCCGCGCCGGGCAAGCGAAGGATACGAGGGAGCGGCCATTTCCCGGCTGAGGAGAGCGGGGCGGCCTGTTTACTGTCATTTCCGGGGGCAAGCTCCGGAGAGTTCTGGGCATTCCCTTACAGCCCCCCTACTGTAATTGCACCGGGTTACTTCATCCGGGGTCAAAACTTGGCCTCTCGCGAATCTGGATTCACTCGAGACAAAAGCGCAAAGAACCAACCCCCGAACTTGATGTGTAGGGCCCGTCTGTGTTGCACTCTTTTTGTTTGCTTTAGAAGGCAACCAGGAAACCCAACATGTTTGGGGCGGGCGGGGGCCCCTATTTGAAGACACACCAAAAGCAAGGTGTCTGGGTCATGTCCTTGAATTCCTCGTGTAACCTCCGAATACCCGGCCGTTTTTAGACAAGGATAATCTGGGTTTTTGAAAAACTGTCCTGAACAAACCGGAGGGGTAATGTATAACTGGTTGGGGTGTCCCTCGTGACTGCGAATTCGGGGTGGGATGCTGCCAATCTTCTTGGACATCAACAGATGCGGTCCACGTTTGTGAGTCTATCTAGGGGTTTTGGACAGTCATCAGCTTCAGTTTGTTTAAGGTGAGGCTTTGCTTTCCCTGTTGGCTTCAAAGAAAATTGGCTATAAGAATCTGCCTTATTTGCTCCTGAAGCAAATAAGAGCCAAGTTTCCTTGCATTCTGCGCAGACGAAGGTTTGACCATGGCTGGCACGCATGCGGTCGAGCAACATTGCAAGGCATGAAATCTGTGAAGGCCTTTGCCTATACGTCCTTGTACGCTATGGCTAACTTCTCCGTCGATTCCAGGTACTCAGGGTAAGGCTAACTTCGCATGAATCCGGAGGTGGTTCCGCTTTTAGTAAGGAAATGGTGATGTTTTAGGGGTTCCTCTGACTTGTAAGGCGCCGAAGTTAACACAGGGGTCGCTGAGTTTCCCCTTCAAAAGTTGATCAATTGACAAAATCACCACTTTTGAAGGTTCCAATAGGGGAAATGGTTCGGAAACCCTGCAACTAGGTTCCCCAGTACTGCCCTTTTACCCATTTTTGGGGGAGGGTTCTCCTACTAAAATAGACAAAGCCGGAAAACAGTTAGTACCCTTATTCTAACCTCTCTACTGGAGGACCTAGGTAACATTGGCTCGCTTTGGAGCCAAGCCCTCTTCCGTCCTAGGTGGTGGCGTGGTCCGAACAGCTCCCAGAGACAGAGGCCAGGCAGCTCACTCGATCGCGGAATCCGCTTGAAAAAGGGTGGAGCACGGGGCCCGGTGGCTTTGGTGACCTTGGTGGGAAACCCCATTGACTTGG